TATATTTTTTAGTTATTTTTTAGTTGTATTTTTTAGTTATATAAGTGCTCATTTAACTTCATTGTGTATACAACTAAAACTTTTGGTAAATACAAGGTTAAACGTTTCACAGAAAATTTTAGAATAATTTGCTTTCTAACAGTGGGAAAACTTTTAAATATGTAGATTGTAGATGTCATTTTGTGTGACCTGTTATTTGAAGATGCGACCAGTTTAAACCTTTTTCAGAAGGGTGAAGGAGATATTCTTATTTTTCTATTTAAACATTGGTAAAAATGTGTTCTGTCAGTTCCGATAGCATGGGGTCATCTATATATAAATTTGGCTTGTCTGTCTGTTTGTCTGTCTGTTTGTATCCAATAAACGTCAAAACGGCTGAACCGATCGGGCCCAAATTTGTTGTGGGCCATCTAGGGACCCCAGGGAAGGTTTATGAATGATTGAAATTCTAAATATTTGTCCCCATCAAAATTCGATCTTCATTAAATTTTTTAAAATTTTGAAAATCCACGAAATTGTTTGTGAAAATCCGCGAATTATTTTTGTTTTGTTTTACTATGTACACAAAGAGAACATGTTCACTATTAATTTAGAAGATGGGCGCTTCGCCCTCTAAGGCTAGTAAATTAAATTGTTTTCCATGCGATCACATCAACACGTTTTTTTTTAAATCTTAATAATGGTTACTTACTTTGAATGCTAATACATTTACGAAATATTCATAAAAAATGTTGACTTTTATGAATACCATGGTATAGGATCTAAACCTATATTTAAAAAACTACTGAAGCGCCATAGTCTAGAAAATTCCAATCAAAATGCAAGATGGCCGTCCTCTATCTTTATTAAAACGCTATTTAGATATCAATAATTTTTCAACTCCGATTTTTTTTTTAAATGACTTAATTTCAACAAGAGAAAAATAAAATTAATAAAGCACAATCTTCTTAAAAACTCTATCTTTATTGAAAACGTTATTTTATGAACAATAAAAGTCTAATCCAGCTTTTTTATTAGTAAAATGTCAATGTCTTTTACATCTGCATACTGTTATAAAAGCTGTTTTTTAAAGACTTGACAGGCATTGAAAAATAAAGTAATTGGGTCTTTGCCACAATCTTAAATTTTCCAATCCCAATATCTTTGCAACCTAAAGATATTAACCTTTGATATTTCAAATTTGGATTATCTGATTATCTAATAGAATTCATAGTTTGAAATATCTAAGGTCCACGACATTGGGTTGGGGAGTTTGTGTCTTAAAGACTCAATTCTTTTGCAGCGAATTTATACACTACCAAAAATATTTGATAAGAAACAAATCAAGCAACTTTTCAGATGATTTTTCAACATCCTTTTTATTATTCACAGTGCACACCCTGTAGATATAATTTACCCTCTGTACATTACTCACAGTGCACACCCTGTAGATATAATTTACTCTCTGTACATTATTCACAGTGCACACCCTGTAGATATAATTTACCCTCTGTACATTACTCACAGTGCACACCCTGTAGATATAATTTACCCTCTGTACATTACTCACAGTGCACACCCTGTAGATATAATTTACTCTCTGTACATTACTCACAGTGCACACCCTGTAGATATAATTTACCCTCTGTACATTACTCACAGTGCACAACCTGTAGATATAATTTACCCTCTGTACATTACTCACAGTGCACACCCTGTAGATATAATTTACTCTCTGTACATTATTCACAGTGCACACCCTGTAGATATAATTTACCCTCTGTACATTATTCACAGTGCACACCCTGTAGATATAATTTACCCTCTGTACATTATTCACAGTGCACACCCTGTAGATATAATTTACCCTCTGTACATTATTCACAGTGCACACCCTGTAGATATAATTTACCCTCTGTAAGTGTGTCCTGCATGCCTTATTTTTGCACACTGAGCCAATCATAAACTTTATTTGCGTACAGTTTACATTAGAGGTAATGTACACAAACTCTATCCCCCCGAACCTTTAGTTGACATACCTTGATTCCCCTTATCTTTTAACCATTGATAAGTCTGGGGCGAGGGATGAGAGTGTCTCCCTTTTATCTTTTTCTGTAAATCTAAAAATAGCTTTTCCTTTATGTTTATTAGTAAACATTATAATTATGTTTACAATACAAGAGCAGTTTATATATAATATATATAATATATTTACTAGTTATATATTTATCATACAACATATCTTGATCATTACACCCGACTTTATATATATGAGCGTGTATAGGGAGAGAACAGAGATAAGAGAGTTACAGAGATCGATTAACACCTATAATTAATATGCGATATTTTCCACAGCATGATCTATTGTGTACAAGTCAGGGAGCAAGGAATAGAAGGGAGAGACAACTGACGCGGTTCGCCCTACCATATGATTATACATGCTTTGCAGACGGTACTCCATTTTATATCGAGCTGTTTGGTTCTTTAGTAGGGCCCCACAGGAAAAATATGTTTTGGCTCAATTTCTTTGACCAGTTTCGCCAATACATATTTTTTTCTGTGGGGCCCTACTAAAGAAACCAAACAGCTTGATATAAAATTTTATATCAAAGAAATTTAGCCAAAACATATTTTTCCTGTGGGGCCCTACTAAAGAACCAAACAGCTCGATATAAAATGGAGTACCGTCTGCAAAGCATGTATAATCATATGGTAGGGCGAACCGCGTCAGTTGTCTCTCCCTTCTATTCCTTGCTCCCTGGTACAAGTACTGTACACTACCAATCAGGAGACATCTGTATTCAGGGATATTTAAGGTCCTTTGAATAGGGGCACCCCATGGTAAAACTGATAGGGTGGTCGATTATATACATCGCGATATGTTTACGTATCTTACAATGAACATTGTACAATTATGCCTAGATGTATATGAAGATCAATAGTTTTCATTTAATTGGTTTAAATATTTATTGGAAAAACTTGCTTTTTTCTTCCTTGTCCTTCCACACCACTTCGCCATTTCCGCCATTTAGTTCCGCCTTTTCCGCACTTCCATTAATCTTCGTCTACTCTGCCCTCTCCACCTTACCTTTTCTCTCCTCTCTTCTCTCTTCCCTCATTTTCTTCTCCGCCCTCTCTCTTTCTCCCCCCTTACCTCATTTTTCACATTCCCTTCTTTTCCACCCTTCTATCCTTCTCCACCCTCCCTCCTTCTCCGCCCTTCTCTCCTTCTCCATCCTCAGTCCTTCTCCATCCTCCCCTCATTTTCCACCTTTCTTCCTTTTCCGCCCTCTTTCATTCTCCGCCCCATTCCTTCTTTAGTGTTCCACGAATACTAAAATTTTTCAGCATCTTAAATACAAAACTTCATCTATTTTTAGAGAACAAACCTCGAAAATTGAAAACGTATGACGCACGCCGTGGTCGTGAAAAAAAAGAATGTTGATTTAAATCTAGATTAATTCTTTATTGACAGCCTTTGAATTAAATTTACTATTTTAAAAATTATTTTTTTAAAAGTTATTCAAAACAAATTAAGTGCTCAAAAAACATTTAATTGAGTTTTGTTCCTCCTTGAACATCTCTTTCTTTGCATTAAAATATAACCAATCTTAATCCAAAGTAATATTTTACAATTACATTTTTTTTATAAAAAAAAACTTAAAAATAATGATCTATTCATGTATTAAAGTACACGTAGAAATTAATATGGCAAATTAGAAGAGTTATCGGAAATGTAATTATGCAATTATTAAAAAGTTATGTTAATAACAATTTTTATATAAAACTTATATTGTGAAAAGTACTTTCACTCGTTTAACGTTACTTTCAAAAAGTTTACAATACTGATTTTAAATTTAGAGCTCTTTTAACCATTTTCTGATTGGAAAAATTTATTCTGAAAATGTGGAAAAAGAAATGCAAAGTACAATTTTGATTATATTTCGCGAAAAAATGCGCAAATATTGTACCAAAAATATGCGAAAAAAATACTCAAATTGCAAATGAAAATTGATGCAAAAGTTTCGAGCAAAAACTGCACGCATGAAAAAATGAATCAACAAGAGATTATATATATATATATATATAATTCCGCAAAATTATTTTTCGTGCAAAAAGGCGGAATAACCAAGAAAATTTGTGCCTTGTTTACGTAGCGGTTTTACTTCCATTCTTGGTTCCATTAATTTTTAAGCTTGTTTCTTTCTTTGCTAAATTATTTAGTTTATCATTTACCATGTTTTTGGGTAACGCTGTATCTCTACTATTGTTTATTAGATAATGGCAGGGGGCGGAAACGTCATGTATGTGTGTCTATACCGACGGCTAAGAACCAAGGACACGAACTAGTAATACCGAACCGAAAATGGTTTGGATTTGTTGTAAATAAGAAAAACAGGATAGATAACAGACTTTAAATGATTGTTCACTAATGATTACACAGGCACTGGCACTGGCACTGTCCCTTTAGCTTAATCCAAATTTTAAAAAATCGACAGAAAAAAGTTAAATTTTTAATGATTTATGTCAATATCTTTCACTGTAGTTTTCAGAATATTATGAGTAGGTTGTATTGATATGTCCAAAATTGTTGAGACTGATCTACTCAAGCTTGTCAAATCTGAAGCTACAGCACGCAGGTAATATATCAACTGATCTACTCAAGCTTGTCAAATCGGAAGCTACTGCACGCAGGTAATATATCAACTGATTTACTCAAGCTTGTCAAATCGGAAGCTACTGCACGCAGGTAATATATCAACTGATCTATTCAAGCTTGTCAAATATGAAGCTACAGCACGCAGGTAATATATCAACTGCTCACCTCAAGCTTGTCAAATCTGAAGCTACAACACGCAGGTAATATATCAAGTGTCATGTCCGATTCACAACGGTACCGATAAAAGCTTTCCATAGTTAATAAGAAATCCAAGTTTTAAAAATGATTATTTACAATTGTGGTTTCTCGAAAAAAGTGACTTGTGGTTTTCTTCTTTCAAATTAAACTTGTTTTTAAACTAATTTAATTTGGAAAAAGTGCGCAAATCACTTTTATAGAGGAACCCAAATTGAAATAATCAAATTTCTAAAAGAGAAAAATGGATGGCTTATTCATTCTAAATCAGAAAAAAATTTTGATTACGTTTAAATTCAAGGGTGCCGTGGATAATCGGGCATACCACTCTTAAACTTGGGGGCATTTGAAACTGCATCAACGTTCTCATTTAAAGTCAAGAGTGGTAGTTTTTAAGTAAAATTAGTAATAAAAACTGTTTTGGGCTTAATAACATATCGAATAAACTTAATATTAAACATTAAAAGGTTAATCTTCAGGTGATGTTTATCAGTTTAGATGAACTTCTTGATAAATATAAAAAGGACCAAAATAAGGTCTTTAATCAATCAATCGATTAATAAAAAATAACATCATGGGCCTTCCATCCTCCCCCCCCCCTATTCAACGCCATGTTACGAGCACTTTCCTTGCAAATCGTTTAGTATTACAAAGCATTGTAAAAACCATTAGAATTTACTTTTTATCTTTGCTGTCAGTCATGCAATTCTTCTTTCTTATGGATTTCCATAGAAATCATTGGGACGAATTATCAAGTAACCCTCGAGGAACGAAATATGAAGTAACCCTCGAGGGACGAATTATCAAGTAACCCTCGAGGGACGAAATATCAAGTAACCCTCGAGGGACGAAATATGAAGTAACCCTCGAGGGACGAATTATCAAGTAACCCTCGAGGGACGAAATATGAAGTAACCCTCGAGGGACGAAATATGAAGTAACCCTCGAGGGACAAAATATGAAGTAACCCTCGAGGGACGAAATATGAAGTAACCCTCGAGGGACGAAATATGAAGTAACCCCAGAGTTGATACACTTGAATTCACAGTTTGATTATCGATGATCTAGAATTTCTTTTTTTTCAGGCGGAAATATATTATATAGTGATTTTGCTAAATCCACGAAAAAAAATTGATGAAAGAGCAACAATTAAAATTGAAGATGGTCGCGAAGCGCCCTGGAACTGAAAGTTTTGAATGATCACACCCAGGTTTAAATTAAGCCCATGGTCCCTTAAAGCAGTATTTATGATATTCTTTTAAACGCTGAGCTTCTGTTTGTAAATTTATAGTTTATGAACAAATTTATTATAAATACAAAATCATGTTTTATTATTTATTCTTTTATTTTAAAACTTCAAAAATTCGACAGCTTGTACTTTGGGACCTCTATGGAAAAGAGTTTCCTTCTATTTTCTCTATGGTTGGAACAATAAATGGATATTGTCACAAAAGAAGAGAAATTGGAGATTGGAGAAAAATTAGATTAGTTTCTGTATATTTCATTCTATTCAGTTTATTCATGGGTGTTGGATCAATTCTTTAGACATACATTTTATAGACAGGACATTACATAGATAGGTCATTTCATAGATAGGACATTTCATAGATGGGACATTTCATAGATGGGACATTTCAAAGATAGGTCATTTCTTAGATGGGACATTTCATAGATGGGACATTTCAAAGATAGGTCATTTCATAGAAATACATCATTGACAAATATTATTAATAGAAATCACTTATCCATTACAAATTTTATCAAAATTTTAACTGGAGTGCTCGGCGTTGCCCGAGGAATTAAAAAAATTAGCCTATGTTACCCCCAGGGTACCCGTGGGTTTCCTTAACAAATGTCAGCCCATTCGGTCCAGCCATTTGGCCAGCTATAGCTGACATGTATATATGAGCGAAGAGCTTTATAAATAAAAGTTATCTATTGACAAATATGGTAAAAAATATGGTAGCATGGTAGCATTTGATAAAAATTTATAAAATTCCTGAAAGCCAAATTATTCAAATCCAGGAAATTTTATGAGAAAATTCATAAATCATTCAAACCAAACCAAACCAAACCATACCATACCATACCATACCATACCATACCATACCATACCATACCATACCATACCATACCATACCATACCATACCATACCATACCAAACCATACCAAACCATACCATACCAAACCATACCATACCATACCATACCAAACCTCAGATCAGCATCAAGATATTTATATATAAAGTTAAACTCTTTATGAGACAAAAATTAAATAAAATTAAACAAATGTAATGATTTAAAATACAAATACAAGTAAAAACCAATCGTAGAAAAATATCAAATCTCTGACCCGCTATGTAGTTGAACTTTTTGTAGAACTTTTTTTACATCTTATGTCGTCGTTATTTAATAATTTAAAAAAAACTAATTCTGAAAACGTATCCATACCCAAAGTAGGAATTTTGAACGTCGACCTTGCGCTCAAACTCAGGATTTAAGTTTAATATGTCTCAAATGAATCCGAAAGAAGTTTTCCATAACACTGCATACTCAGTTCAACTACCTTACATAGCCCATTACTCCCTTTAAAGCAAATAGCTTTATTCTAAAGTTATTAAATTACTTATAAAGTAAAATGGGTCTGTTTACATTGCACGATTGCTGTGCCTCATATTCAATTTTTTAAGTCTTAACTTGAGTTTAAAAGTAGACTTCCTACTCCAGAGTTTTCTGGTTATCACTGTATACTTTTGAAAATTTCTGCTTAGTTTCTAGAATTAACACTCAACAAGATGGAATATCTTCCACATTATTGTTCTGATAAAGGTTTTAAGGGTACCTATGTGAATTGGACTGTCCTTTTGAAATTTTAATAAAGTTCTAAAAGTAAAATATGTCTTTTTTGTGAATTCTAAAATTGCGAAAATGATTTGAAATGCATAAATGCGCCACTACCAATATCAATTTGAAATATGCGCAACTTTTGAATTTTGTTTTAGAATGAACAGTTGTGGCTGGAGACTGGTTGCTTTGCTGCTCCTCTACTTGCTCTACCTACTGCTAGGAGCAGCAGTTTTCTCAGCTATTGAAGCTCCCATAGGTAGCTTTACAGATCCCGTTTCTGGAAAATCATAAAAAATTTTGTTTTTAAAGGAACTGTACACTTCAAGGGAACTGTATACACTCAAACACTAATTTTTCCATCCATTATCTTTGCAACCTGATGATGTGTTTGATTATTAGATCTATATTTTTATATGTTTTTTTTCTTTCTTGGAAACCATGTTAATACTCTCTGTAAAACTAAAAATTTCTGTGAAATACCTCCTCTGGCTCTCCCGTCCCCCTAACGAAAAGGAAAAGAATACTAATCTTTTTTAATAGGCCTCTAGCTATTCAGCGTTGGTCTTATTCATTTTCTAATTCTTGCAAGTATCAAGATACAAATCAATTTTTATTTCTATAATGATTGTTTGGCGCTGAAATATTATATTTATTATACGTAACAGTGGCACACATTTATCTGTGGAATATTTTAAAAAGTCTTAAGCGTATTTGATGTTGTTTTACCAGTAGCGTTAAAATCAACTTTTGGAGTCAAATAGGTCATTGTACACTTCACAATAGCTGTGTTTCTTCTTCACTAGAGACTTATTAGAATCATATTAAAAGTCGTCTTCCTATGACACAGTTTATTTGGTCAAACTGTGTTACCATTTCTAAACAGAAATTTCCAAATGTTCGCTGGATGGTTTAGAAATGATGGAAAATATTGATTTGGGTAAAAAGAGTAAAATGTCGCCTATCAAAACTCAATCTTACTTTTCTAAGCGGGGGGTGCACAAGAGTGAAGGGGGGGTGGCACAACCCTCTGGCTACCCCTAAAGAATCAAAAGGGAAATTTTCTGGTCAAAAACAGGGGAAATGGTAAAAGCGACATGGTTTTATCAAAGAAAGACTCTAAATTCTAGGATTTCATTTTTTCTCAAACTTAAATTTTCTAGTCCCTATATCTTTGCAAACTGATGGTGTAAACCTTTGATATTTCAAACTAGGACAATTTAATCTAACAAAATTCATAGTCTGAAAAATCAATGTAAAATCTTTGCCAACGGGTTGGGTGTGTAAGTTTCATGATAATTATTAGATAATTATTAATTAGAATATAAATGAATAAAGTTAATTTAACACAAAGAATTGTACTGTGAATTGCAGACAGATAGATGTAACAACTTTTTAGACAGACACATAACATACAACTCCACAACATGAGTGCAAATTTACAGACAGAAAGAAAGAAATATAGACACCTTTTTAAAGAGTTATCTAATATGTGCAGATTAAAAACAAGGTGTAATTTTTGTCTATATTTAAATTTCAATATTTTTAAGTGATGTTTCAGTTTTGATTAATAGATATGGAACACTTGTTATGGGAAGATTCTGAGTTTTAAATATTCCCACATAAAATCCGCCAAAAAATGGTTATGGAAGGATATAAGTCAGAACTTCTGTAATGAGAGTCTAGGAATTATGCATGGATAGGTTGCATTTTATGCAGATCTACAGATTAATTTAATTCCTTAGCTTCGGGATCCCCCGATGGTCATACCCTGCATGGATAGCTTTAATTGAAGCTCATCTTTAAAAGAGTCCACATTGAATATCGAGATTAAGCGTTAAAGATTAACAATTCCTGCAAAAAAATTCTAGATTACATTTTCCATATTTTTCTTTTTAAAGCTAGAAGCATTTTATCAAAAAAAACGAAGAATGTGATAAAAACAACTTTCAGATACTTTTTTGGTTTGACAAAGCTCTTGCCAAAAACTCTGATTTTTTATTTCTATTGTTTTTGCAACCTGATGTCACCGTTCTGAATCTATGATTCCCCTTAAAAAAGAATTTTACATGAAAACTGTTGAATAATTTAAATCTATACTATCGTATTTTAGAAACTGAGATATTAAATGAGTTGATGGAGAAAAAGGAAGAGTTTTTGGCCTCTCATCCCTGCGTTCAAGGTAGTTTATAAAAACCTTGTTATAGGAAACTCAAACATATTGTGTGACGTCATTTATTATCTTTTTCTAAAAAAATTTAAATAGATTCTTATAAAACTGAAATTATTTAGAAAAAAGGTTTGCAAAAACATTTTTCAGTACAAATAACAAATCGGCGTTTCGCTTTACAATTTTGTATGTTTGTATGTTTCTACTCTTCGTATTTCTAAAAACACCGTTAGGTTAAAAAAGTAAAAATGAAACGAGAAACGATGATTTTTCGGTCGTTTATGAATACCATTAACATCACTAAAAATATATCTATTAAAAATAATATTGATATTATGTTTATAAGCCTTTTCAGAATTTTAAATAAAGAAAGTAAGTTTTAAGTTGTTATCCCACAAAATTGAGTGGCCATAGCAAGGTTATATGCAAGGAAAGTTATTTTAGAGGTTTACGCATGTTTTGTACTGCAGTGTACTTACTATCTCTGGTCGATAATGTAATCACAAGACGGATGTCACAGCCTGACATGGGATCCATCTTTCACATAAAAATCAATGAAACTACTGTGTGAATTATTTAAATTTAATGCTTTTATCCTCCACGGATACTAAACAAACACTGATGCATCTATTCTTGTTTACGAAATCCGCCCAGAGAGAACTGCTTTCAATTTATACGCAGAGTATACGCAACTGCAATTAACTTTCCTTGCATTAAAACCTTGGGCCGTAGTAAAGCCTTCGAAAAATCAGAACCACCATATGTACAAAACTATGAACTATGGACTATGCAAATTAAATAACAAAGCAACATCAAAAAAGTGTGTTGAAAACAAGAAAAGTATACTTATGCTAGATTAAAAACCTGCCAAAATCACTTCAGAAATTTCTAATCCATAAAAACTTTATTAGAAATAAAGTTGCAGTAAAATGACAATAATGTTGTACAAAATAGTTTTAAAAGTGGAGACATCTATGGTTGAATTAATTATTAAACTGTCCGTCTCTAATGTTCATTTGATTTTGTTTTTCATTTTGGAGATTCTCGCATCTTTAGTTTTCAAATTGAATTAAGAGTAGAATAATTATAGTACAGGCATTCAATTAAAATGTTGTATAAGTATCGATTTGACGCAAAAAATGATGAACTAAGAAATATCAAAGAAATATTAATGAATGAATGAAATAAAATATGAAAGGATCTGAATGTTGTAGGAAAAATGAATGAATAAATCTTTATAGAGAAAGTATGAATGATAAAAATTTTCTCTAAAATATAAAAAATATTAGTCTGTTTACTCTGTAGGGCGTCAAATTCAAAGAAAACTTTAGAGATCAATATTTTAAAATCTAACTTTTTATTTTGTTTTCAGAGGATGATTTGGATGATTTGTTGGATATTATTGTTTACAGCAGCAAACGAGGAGTATATGCTCCCATCAGGTTTATGTACATTTACAATGGATCCCCTCAAGAGACGTATGTACAGTGTACAAATAATATTTTCTTTAAACAGCTTTTATCTGACATCATGCAAAATTATTCATAAACCACAGAGATGACACTAAATTAAATCCCAAGATCGTAAATTTACGTCGTTATAAAAGTCACATTCTTTCTGAATGTGACTTTTAAATATATTTTAAAGTGGGATCAAATATTTTTTATTAAAAAGATATATTTTCATTTTTTAAAAAAAGATTGATGAATGCATAACCATATAGAAAGAGCTAAAGTAGTTTACAAAATCATAGAAATGATTGACAAACTCATAGAAATGATTGATAAACTCATAAAAATTATTTACAAACTCATGAAATAATTGACAAACTCATAGAAATGATTGCCAATTAAATCATAGNGTATAAAACAATGATACTATGAATAATGAACATGTATTGGTATAAAACAATGATATTATAAACAATGAACATGTATTAGTATAAAACTGTGGCGGCTATGAAAGTCGTCTTTCCTTAGAGAACTTCTCGCGGCAAGGAGAAAGAATAGGGGAGTTTCCAGAAGCCACGTAGAGACAGGATGTGATATTAAAAACATATATATTTTTCTAACTTTGTAACTTTATATTTAAAATATAGTTAGTCGTTATCAAATCCTCGTCTTATTGCTATCCGCCAAAAAACAATGATTTTATAAACAATGAACATGTATTGGTATAAAACAATGATATTATAAACAATGAACATGTATTATTATAAACAATGAACATGTATTAGTATAAAACAATGATATTATGAACAATGAACATGTATTAGTATAAAACAATGATATTATGAACAATGAACATGTATTGGTATAAAACAATGATATTATGAACAATGAACATGTATTAGTATAAAACAATGATACTATGAATAATGAACATGTATTGGTATAAAACAATTGTATTATAAACAATGAACATGTATTAGTATAAAACAATGATATTGTAAGCAATGAACATGTATTGGTATAAAACAATGATATTGTAAACATTGAACATGTATTGGTATAAAACAATGATATCATGAATAATGAACATGTATTAGTATAAAAAAATGATATTATGAACAATGAACATGTATTAGTATAAAACAATGATACTGTGAGCAATGAACAGTATTAGTATAAAACAATGATATTATGAATAATGAACATGTATTAGTATAAAACAATGATATTATGAACAATGAACATGTATTAGTATAAAACAATGATACTATGAATAATGAACATGTATTGGTATAAAACAATGATACTATGAATAATGAACATGTATTGGTATAAAACAATGATATTATGAACATGTGCTGATATGATACAATGATATTATGAACACTGAACATGTAAAGACGACTTAAAACTTTTAAGTAATAACAATCCCAGAGTTAAATTACGTGCTTTAAGTAGAAAATAATCTTTGTATAGTTTAATAAATGATTTGCCATCATAGAATCATGAACATAAGAATCGTTCAATTTAAATTCCGTACAGTCGTCTCTGAATTCTCATGCTTTGTGGGTAACCCTGTACATCCTGAAAAATCCTTGTGCTTCTGCTGACATGCAATTTATTCCACTGCCATGGTAGAACTAGTATCAAAGCTTTGATAAACTAGCTTGCATGTTCGCTAATATTTATATTATATTTTATTGTATACCACTATTTATTTTTGTAAATTATTATTCTTATATTTTGTTGTGTTATAGTGTATCATATATTTATTTCTATATATCTATATTCTTTCATTTTAAACTCTTACTACTGTAATAACTTTAAGGTCACGTGATATTCTGTAAACGTGCAGTACATTGTAAATTATAATTATCTATGTTTGTAAACTACTACGTAAAAACCATTTTTTATTTGAACTACGTTTCAAACGAATACATAGCATGGTTAGCTTAAACCCTTTTTAATACCTACAATCAACTTATACACAGGCAATTTCTCAACTTGTATAATTAAACGAGTACCACTACCAAAGCTTTCTTTCAAGCTCACTTATGCTTCTGATAACTTTATCAAACGCAGAGTCTCATTCAACTGACTTTATTTCGTAGTTCATATTAGAATTGGGTTATTTACAGCGTAATTACAAGTTATGAGCGGTTAATGTACATATACATAAAAGGCAATCATATTGTAGCTATACGTGTAACTGTGTAGCTGTTTGAGACATTGATCAATTGATTGCTAGTGTCCGTAATGACACAGATAGCTAACAAGATCGTGCCCAGTAGTAGTGGCGTTGATAGTTCACAGGATTGTAGCCGCGTGGATCATGTTCTGTTTGATATTCATAGCGGACGGATTGTACCTGAGATGGAATTTAAAGAATTTGAGCCGCGGTTTAAATCCACCAAAACCCGGTTTAAATTAAGCGCCGGCTTAAATCTTGAAACATTTGATACAATTTTAAGTGGAACCAACCATATCTAAACTACGGCTTAAATTTGGACTGGTACATATGGAAAGAACTTTTAAGAGTACGGCATTTACTACAACTATACTACAACTACTACGATGTGTACTTCTAAACTATTTTTATAGACAACATAGAAAAAAAAATTGTGAAGCGGAAATTAAGATGAGATTTCATGACATTTTTTTGGTATAGTCTTGTTATTGAATAAATGAAGCCAAATTTCAAATGACCCTCCATTCAAAGATGGCAATGCCCGGTTTAAATTGTACCTTGTAACCTTAATCTGATCAAAAATGTCGAAAATACTCTCGTTTTTATGACTCTAAAATTTTCCCCATGCTTCTTGAAAGCCGGAAATGTGCAATTAACTTTCGCAGAGAACCCAGCCCGCAAATGAAAAAAATAGTCTATAGAGAAAACACATGGATTTACACTTGATCAGACGAAGCTTATAAGGGTACCGTTGTAAATCTGGCATTTGAATCCTTGCATGAAGGATCACTTAAAACTACACTTACAGTCCCTTTACAACTTGTCCCTTTAACCATGGCGTGGTGTTTTTTTACCTGAGATGGAATTTAAAGAATTTGTGCCGCGGTTTAAATCTGCCAAAACCCGATTTGAATTAAGTGGCGGCATACATCTTGAAACATTTGATACAATTTCAAGTGGAATCAACCATATTTAAGCCGCGGCTTAAATTTAAACCGCCGCTCCAATTCTTTAAATTCGGCCACTGGTTGCCGTTGTGCTTACTTTAATTTTGTAAATTGTTGTTCCATTAAATCTCAAAATTTATCACCAATTCAACCCAATATCTTTAGATAATGTTTTAGGTTTAAAATCTTTATATTAATCTTTTTTAAATTACAGTCACGGGCAGCCGTAGTACATTTGAATTTCCGAGCCAGGTCAACCTTTCCGGTCCCAGTTTGTACTGTATCGCCCGGACATTTGATAAATAAACCAGACACTCAATAGGACTAGCCGGTGCAACAAGTTTGACGCGGTCAGACTTAGGTTAAATTTACTTTTAATAAGGGTCAGAGGTGCGTGCAGTCAGCACCTTAAAACTGGGATCGAAAGAGTAAGATGACTGTTAGGCTCAAGTTATGATTATAAAAAGAATATTTCACACGAAACAGAGCAATTGTGCAATGTTTTGATGGGAATAATAATTATTTTCAAATGTGGATTCTCATAAAATGGGATTTGTGGATTTGTGGCAGCCAAGACGGTGAACAAATTTGCTGGAATAAAACACTTTTAAGAAAGACAAACAATGATATCTTCCTCATCATAACTTTACTGGGTACTGTTGTAAGTCAGAGATGCCGCGCTGCACTTTATAAAGAGCGTGGTACTGTAAACAATGATTGATTTTTCCCGTACGTGAAAAATAACGTTCTAGTATATATATTTTAGTGTGAATGCATGTGACAGGATAATTATGCTTTTACTTAAAAAGTAAATAAATATGTTTGGAGATGAAAAATATTGGATTAATATTTAATCCTGATAACTAAATCTCTCTATCCATTGTGGACTCTTTTGATTTTCTAATTAATCCTCCTCCCTGCTGGATTCCTATCAATGAAAGTTCGCAAAAGGAATCGAGTCTTTGCCACAAACTCTGATTTTCTTATCACTATATCTTTGGATCCAAATGTTGCAGACCTTAGATATTTCAAATTATATCTCTGCAATCTGCAATGTCGGAAATCTTATTTATTTCAAACTAGGCATTCTGTCAGATCAAATAATCTAAGTTTGAATTATCAAAGGTTTACAACATCAGGTTGCTTAGATAAAGAGATTGGAACATTGGAGTTTGTTGCAAAGACTCAATTCCTTTGTCGGCTTCCATGATTGGATGTTCAGTTTCTACAATCATTACTTTGAAATGGTTGAATTTTACATAATAATGTAAAATTGATTTAATCTTAAAGGGAGTGTTCGCGAAAAGTGAAAGGGGGTATAGGCTTAATGCGATAAAAAAGCGCTTTTGATTGCTACTAATCTTACTTCTATCTGTTGCGTCTATAAGAAGAAAATTGTTAAAGACGTTTGAGACCCTTCCAACTGTGTAATAGAGAGACGAGAATTAATCAATTTTATCAATTTTATGATGTGTCTTTGATGTTGTTTTTAAGCTTATTATTTTTATCATTAGTTTGAAAATTAAGATATTAAGTGAAATGTCTGTGAACACTGCACAATTGATGTTTTTAAGTTGATTAGACTATTTGAAATCATACCTTTAATCCATCATTTCACTCTTTTTGTGGTCTAACGTAACAATTATCAATTTATTAAAATGTTTCTCAACGTTAGACCTAATAAGGGTTTGCAGCCTGTTTATATTTCACTAATAATAATACTCATGAGTTTAATGAAACTCTTAATTATAAATCTGATGATATTAATTTTATAAAACTATTTGTATGATGACAATTACAATTATAAGTTTCACAATAATTATGATTAAATCTTTCATAACAAGGATAAGTATGATTACAGGGACATGGACAAAGGCAAGGACAAGGTCATGGACAAACATAAGAAAAAGTATAATTACAGGGACAATTAAAAGGGCAAGGACAAAGATAAGAAAAGGTATAATTACAGGGACAAGCACAAGGACAAATACAAGGCCAAGGACAAGGACAAGGACAACGACAAGTAAAATCGCAGGACAAGGAAAAGATCAAGGACACGGACAAGAAAACGTAAAATGACAAGGACAAGGACAAGTACAAGGAAAAGGAAAAGAAAAACGACAAGGACAAGGACAAGGGCAAGGAGAAAAAAATGATAAGGATATATGTATGTCCAGCAGTAAACTATATTTTATAAACAAGAGGAAATGTTCTGAGCTTAGTTTAAGAAGATATATATATATAAATTTATTTGTGCAGGATATGGAGAACAATCTCCTCTATCTGAGCTTAGTTTAAGAAGATATATATAATTATATATATTTGTGCAGGATATGGAGAACAATCTTCTCTATCTGAGCTTAGTTTAAGAAGATATATATATATATAAATATATTTGTGCAGGATATGGAGAACAATCTCCTCTATCTGAACTTAGTTTAAGAAGATATATATAATTATATATATTTGTGCAGGATATGGAGAACAATCTCCTCTATCTGAGCTTAGTTTAAGAAGATATATATATATATATAAATATATTTGTGCAGGATATGGAGAACAATCTCCTCTATCTGAACTTAGTTTAAGAAGATATATACATATATAAATATATTTGTGCAGGATATGGAGAACAATCTCCTCTATCTGAACTTAGTTTAATAAGATATATATAATTATATATATTTGTGCAGGATATGGAGAATTAGAGCTTAGTTTAAGAAGATATATATATATAAATATATTTGAGCAGGATATGGAGAACAATCTCCTCTATCTTAACTTAGTTTAAGAAGATATATATAAATATATTTGAGCAGGATATAGAGAACAATCTCCTCTATCTGAACTTAGTTTAAGAAGATATATATAATTATATATATTTGTGCAGGATATGGAGAACAATCTCCTCTATCTGGACGTGGCAAGGTGTTCTGTATGTTCTACTGTATCCTAGGAATACCTTTAACCCTTCTCCTACTCTCAGCCTTAGTTCAGGTATGGAACAATTTAAAGGAAGTGTTCAAAAACAATTTAAAGGGAGTGTTCAAGAACAATTTAAAGGAAGTGTTCAAAAACAATTTAAAGGGAGTGTTCAAGAACAATTTAAAGGGAGGGTTCAAGAACAATTTAAAGGGAGTGTTCAAGAACAATTTAAAGGGAGGGTTCAAAAACAATTTAAAGGGAGGGTTCAAGAACAATTTAAAGGAAGTGTTCAAAAACTATTTAAAGGGAGTGTTCAAGAACAATTTAAGGGGAGTGTTCAATAACAATTCAAAAAGATTGTCAAGAACAATTTATAGGGAGTGTTCAAAAACAATTTAAAGGGAGGGTTCAAGAACAATTTAAAGGGAGTGTTCAAGAACAATTTAAAGGGAGGGTTCAAAAACAATTTAAAGGGAGTGTTCAAGAACAATTTAAAGGAAGTGTTAAAAACAATTTAAAGGGAGGGTTCAAGAACAATTTAAAGGGAGTGTTCAAGAACAATTTAAAGGGAGGGTTCAAGAACAATTTAAAGGAAGTGTTCAAGAACAATTTAAATGGAGGGTTCAAGAACAATTTAAAGGGAGTGTTCAAGAAAAATTTAAAGGGAGTGTTCAAGAACAATTTAAAGGGAGTGTTCAAGAACAATTTAAAGGGAGTGTTCAAGAAAAATTTAAAGGGAGTTTTCAAGAACAATTTAAAGGGAGTGTTTAAAAACAATTTAAAGGTCGAGTGTTCAAGAACAATTCTAAAACAGTTTTTAAGAACAATTTAAAGGGAGTGCAGTTAAAGAAAATGTTTAAAGGGAATGCAGTTATAACCAGAATACTTTAAAATGATCTTCGTTTTTCTTTTTAGTGAAAACTGTTCTCAGTCTTTCAGATTTTAGGGTCAAATAAGATTCTTCAGAAGTAGTGTCTTCTGTTTATGATGAAATTATAAGTCATTTTATAATACTTTTTGTTTTTTGGAAGCCCTCTCTTTAAAATGTCACCCTCTTCTTTTCCATATTTTTGGTTGAAGTGAACATTTTGCCTAACTCTAATCATGAACTAAAGCAAATGTATTTTTATAAAGTATTAAAAGAAGCATTTATATTTATTCAAAGCTTATTTCAAAGTTCTTTTTCTATTTACATTAATGATTTATTATATTTTTCTTCCCCTTAGGATATGCTGACATCTAAATAGTTTTTATTGTATAAGAGCTTAGAAAGTTTCTTTATATAAGAGGGAATTATATAATTGCATCAGCACAATGGAACTTTATCCTCTACAGTATACAACTTTATGATCTACTCATCTATGTTTTTAGATCAAACACCTCTATAATAATATAACTCATCTTTGATCACCTCTGTAATCATACACCTACATGATCTAACACCTCTATGATCTAACACTTCTATGATCTAACACCTCTATGATCAAACACCTCTATGATCTAACATCTCTATGATCTAACACCTCTATGATCTAACACCTCTTTGATCTAACACCTCTATGATCATATACCTCTATAATCTAACACCTCTATGATTTAACACCTCTATGACCATATACCTCTTTAATCTAACACCTCTATGATCATACACCTCTTTCATCTAACACCTCTTTTATCTAAATCCTCTATGAAACATCTCTATGATCTAATATCTCTCTGATCCAACGCCTCTATGATCTTACACCTCTATGAAACTTCTTTTTTAAACACCTCTATGATCTATCACCTCTATGACATAACACTTCTATGATTTAAAACCTCTTTTACCTAACACCTCTAAGAAACTCCTCAATGAAACACCTCAATGATCCTCTATAACCTAACACCTCTTAGATCTAACACCTCTTTGACCTAACACCTCTATGAAACTCCTCAATGAAATACCTCATTGATTTAAAACCGATATGATAGTACACCTCTATGACCTAACACCTCTATAATCTAACACCTCTATATGATCTAAAACCTCTGTAATATAACACCTCTAAAGTATTACACCTCTATGATCTAGCACCTCTATATTCTATCACCTCTACAATCTATCACCTCTATAATTGTTGACAGATAACAGCAACACGCTAGACAAATCCGGATAATAGGCCGGTTAGGATTCTGAAGGGGGGTGTTTATTATCCCCAGACGATTCTTTCCCGATGGCCGAACAATACACACACAACAGAGTAACCCCGTCACAGAAATTCGATAACAAAATCTTTATTTCCTAAAAAATAACATAAATTATAGGTCATGGTTACTTGTACAATGTTATAATGAATGTTAATAGTAGAAAAATCTTACGAATTATTTAAGTATGGTCGGGGTTGACTTATTTGTTGATCAGTATTGAAATACGTTTTTTAACTTCTGAAAAATTACAGTTGAATATTTAACGAAATTCACTTATGCTTCTTATGAAAATATTTTGCTTAACTTTAATGATTTCACAACAACGAAAATATTTTAAGCTCCGTCGGAGGAGGACAATGGAATTTGCGGGCTGAAAATTTGGTTTGGCTGTCTCCGACAGGAGATTCCAGTAGAAGACGACATTTTATATAGGTTTTAAAATTAATGGTTAACAATAATCTATCACCTCTATAATATTACACCTCTATTTTATACTTCTCTAAGGTCTTATCCTCTGAACTAGACTGATTAATATTCCTCTTGCATTTCTATTGCAGAACAGGGTCACTCAGTTCAACCCCTAAACCTAAATATCAGCAGTTCATGAATTTACTCCTAAACCTGTATATCTGTAGTCCCTGAATTTACCCCTAAACCTGTATATCTGCAGTCCATGAATTTACCCCTAAACCTAAACATCAGCAGTCCATGAATTTATCCCTAAACCTAATTATATTTTCAGTCCATGAATTTACCCCTAAACCTAAATATCAGCAGTTCATGAATTTACCCTAAACCTAATTATATTTGTAGTCCATGAATTTACCCCTAAACCTAAATATCAGCAGTCAATGAATTTATCCCTAAACCTAAATATCAGCAGTCCATGAATTTACCCCTAAACCTAAATATCAGCAGTCCATGAATTTACCCCTAAACCTAAATATCAGCAGTCCATGAATTTATCCCTAAACCTAAATATCAGCAGTCCATGAATTTATCCCTAAACCTAAATATCTGCAGTCCATGAATTTACCCCTAAACCTAAATATCTGCAGTCCATGAATTTACCCCTAAACCTAAATATCTTCAGTCCATGAATTTATCAATCTGAAAATGTAGAAGAAGAAAAACTGACTCACCCTGTAGGAAATATCTATTTCGGGAAATCAATTCAAAGTTTTAGATTGAAAACTTTTTTATTGGTTCTCGGAGCTAGTAACTCAGAAGAGAAAGATAATTTTATTCAACCAAAAAATTATCAATTGTTATTATTCAAGAAACGTCAAAACGGCAGAATCAAATTTTTTGGGGGAAACTCATTCGGCGAAGGCCAATCAGAATCACAGGCAGCCGTAGTACGTTTGAATTTCCAAGCCGGGTCAACCTTTCCAGTCCCAGTTTGTACTGTATCGCCCGGACATTGGGTAAATAAAGCAGACACTCAATAGGACTAGCCGGTTCAACAAGGTTGACGCGGTCAGACTTCAGGTTGAATTTACTTTTATTGAAAGGTCAGAGGTGCGTGGAATAAAAGAAATTTCAAAGACGAAATGTCGATGGAAAAAAAATCGACTTTTGACAGTGAAACAGAAAAATCAGCAAAATTTTAGTTAAATGTACGTTAGAAACATTTGTGGCGGTAAAAGCAACTTTTTCAAACAAGAATCTTTACAAGAAGAAGAGGGCGCGTCTAGCATTAAATATTTACAAACAATAAACCATAAGATGGATATTCTATCAAATATCTAAATATTAACATATTTGGTTTTCCACTGATTTTGTGAGAAAACTAACGAAAAGAAAGTCGGATAAAAAAAATATTATTATTGAAAGTTTAACAACGTTTATTTAGATATATAGAATATACAGTAATGCAAATGAATAATTATTTTTGGGCGAAATGCATAAAATGTCGCAAGGTCGTACCACTATTTCTGCATAGAATCGAAAATATTTTTTATCTTAATGTTAAAAGTTTAAGTTCCATTATCACCTAAGCTGAGATTTTAAAAGCTTAAACCCGAGTAAAACCCAGTCTTAACGTCTGCTAAAACCCAAGGCTCAAGTCAAGACCCGGGTTTTGGATGGCCTTGGGGTTTTCGCTCTTTAAGAAAATAATGTGTCTACGTAAAGTTAAAATTTTCAAAATTACATCTTCTTGTCACAGCTGATCTGACAGCAATCTGTCTGCTACAGAGAGAAAGCTTTCCAAACGGTCTCTCATTGGTCGAATCAGAACCAATCCTGACTTGGGTTCTATCTGAGCTCGAGTCTGGGCTTTACTCGTATTTATAGAGACTACTGGAACCCGCAAACAATGTTTAATATTTATAGAGACTACTACTGGAGCCGGAAAACAATGTTTAATATTTATAGAGACTACTACTGGAGCCGGCAAACAATGTTTGATAATTGTAGAGACTACTGGAGCCTGCAAACAATGTTTAATATTTATAGAGACCACTGGGGCCTGCAAACAATGTTTGATATTTGTAGAGACTACTGGAGCCTGCAAACAATGTTTAATATTTACAAAGACTACTGGAGCCTGCAAACAATGTTTGATATTTGTAGAGACTACTGGAGCCTGCAAACAATGTTTAATATTTGTAGAGACTACTGGAGCCTGCAAACAATGTTTAATATTTGTAGAGACTACTTGAGCCTGCAAACAAAGTGCTGATGTGGTTGAACTCTAAGCTGGGTCACCTCTACCAACCACTGTATATTCGACTGCTACATCTCATCATGGTAATACACACTTTTAATCAATTCTAAAAAATCAATTTTTTGTGCTTTTTTAAAAAACTTATTTTCAAACTATGCTGATATACAGGGTTACCCACAAATTATGCATATCATGTTTCATTTCTAGTGAGTAACCCTGTGTGTTCTTTTTTACACGGTTACTCACAAAGTAAGAAACTTTAATTCCGATCTGAAACTCTTAATGCCGATCAAAAAATTTTAATGCTGATCTGAAACTTTTAATGCTGATCTGAAACTTTTAATGCTGATCTGAAACTTTTAATGCTGATCTGAAACTCTGAATGCCGATCTGAAACTTTAATGCCGATCTGAAACTTTTAGTGTCCATCTAAAACTCTGAATGCCGATCTGAATCTCTTAATGTCGATCTGAAACTATTAATGCCGATCTAAAACTCTGAATGCCGATCTAAAACTCTGAATTCCGATCTGAAACTCTTCTTAATGCCGATCTGAAACTCTGAATGCCGATCTGAAACTTGAATGCCGATCTGAAGGTGGAAATTTTTATAACATTTTCTTTATACTTAATAATTTTGAATTGAAAGATGCAAGTATTTAGTTGTAAGAAGCCCTAAATTTAAGAAAAACAAATGAATAAATTACGTGAGTCGTCTAAAAAGTCTAAAAAGTCTAAAAAGTCTCATCCTTTCAGGGTAACCTTGTATGTAGTTATTTAAGTATATTCACTTGCCCGCCAAGAAAAAAAAACTATTTCGGGAACCTTCCAATCCGTTCCAGACGGTGAAAACCTTCCAATCCGTTCCAGACGGGGAAAAAATGGAAATGCTATTTCTAGAGAAAAACACATTAAATTCTACTGTGGATTCTTCAGCAGAGTAAACAAAGTTTATTTTCTTTAAGATTTATTTTTACTCGGATCAAAGTGTAGTAACAGGATGCGACAAAGTACAAAACTATTTACATTAAAAAACAGGAAGCGACAAAGTACAAAACTATTTACATTAAAAAACAGGAAGCGACAAAGTACAAAACTATTTACATAAAAAACAGATGCGACAAAGTACAAAAATATTTACATAAAAAACAGGATGCGACAAAGTACAAAACTATTTACATTAAAAAACAGGAAGCGACAAAGTACAAAACTATTTACATAAAAAACGACAAAGTACAAAAATATTTACATAAAAAACAGGATGCGACAAAGTACAAAACTATTTACATAAAAAAAACATTTTTTTGAGAAATACCTGAGGCAGCAATTTAAATAAGAAATTTAATAAATTGAGTCTTTGCCACAAACTCAAATGTTTTAATCGTTATAACTTTGCAATCCAATGTCAATAACCCTTTATATTTGAAACTATGAATTCAGGTAGATCAAATAATTTAGGTTTGAAATATCAAAGGTTTACACTATTCAGTTCTAGGGATATATTATTAAGGCTCCAGCCTTAATAAATGTTGCGCGTAATATTTTCCTTAAAGTTTAGTCTAATTTATACATAAGTAGATTTCTTAAACAAAAATACTAAATCTAAGTATGTACATTGAAAATTTTGAATTAAGACTCAGGATTAAGTTTAAATCTCGTCCCCTGGAAACTTTTGAATCCGTGGAAATAATTAAAATCCATTTTAAATCCCAGCCGGACTGGTACGAACTTAGTAAAGCTTTCATAATCCCTGTCATGCTGAGATGTCAGTGAAGCTTAAAACTTTATTTTTATTTTGTTTAGACAAAGTTGAGAAGCCCGAACAGTTTAAAATGGTTGTTGTGGTTTTATGTTGAGAACTTTGTAAAAAAAACTGAATACAGGCCGCCAACTTTAGTACTTATAATGCAGTTTAAATCTTAGTTTCCCTCTGACTTAAGTCAGTGATTAGTCCTGCAAAATTACACAGAGAAAACTAACTAAACTCTGATATTTTTATCCCTATACCTTTGAAACCCAAGTTGTCGTAGAACTTAGATATTTTTTTAAACTATGAATTATGTTATATCAAATAATTTAAGTTTAAAATATCAAAGATGTTGACCGTCAGGTTGCAAAGACATAGGGATTAGAAAATTTGAGTTTGTGGCAAAAACTCAATTCCTTTCAAAAACCTCAGTAACGTTTAAGCCTGAGACTGAAACTCGATTTTTCTTTAAAAGAAGTATTTGTCAAAACTCAAATTGAATTTTTGGGATCATGCATGGCGTGCACATTTGAATTCGCGGAGATGCAGTGAATGCTGGGTAAGCAGTGTCCGAATTTAATGAATTTACGCCGCGTCTTAAATCAAACAAAAACCGGTTACAATTGAGCGCCGGCTTAAATCTTGAAACATTGAATACAATTTTAATTGAAACCAACCATATTTGAGCAGCGGCTTAAATTTAAGCCGCCGCTCAAATTCTTTAAATTCGGTCTCAGGACAGGCAGGCTTGAAACAGTTTCGAACTCGATCAGAGTTTTTAAAAACATTTAAACATTAATTTAGGCCAATATTTAAGCAACATAATTTTGCTTTTGTTTAGAAAAACAAAAAACTATTTCCCTGTCTATGAAAAGATTAATGAAAGTTGAAACTGAGTTAAATTCCTTAAAAACACAAAGTTTGAAAACTTAAAAGTTTTATAATTTCTAAAATAGTTTTTTTGATAAATTAAAACCAGATTTAGTGGCTAGATTAAAAGGAGTGTTCTTGGGGTTTTTAAAAAGTTGGTTTATGACAAAGCATGATTAAATCATTGATGCTCGTCACGTTTATGCTTCGATTTCGACCCCATATTCTATTCGGCCAGCTAGACGACAGGTCGTGCCGAGCCAATACAATTATCGTTCAACGGTACTTTGAGAGTTAAGAACCATAGAACTGTGGAATAGGAAGACGACTGATAGTTGGACTCAAGTTTATGATTATAAATGAACATAGTGTTTATTTTCCTTGCGTTTTATATATATATGCAAACATGTTTATATATATATATATATATATATATATATATACATATATAAATATATATTTTTAACTTTAATAATTTATTTTGATTAAGGGGTACGTAAGCACAAGCTCACGGATACAAAATAGAACGATACATTCAAGAATGTAATGCAAGGAAAGTTAATTGTAGTTTCGTATACTCTGCGGACATATTGAAACCTGGTCTCTCTGGGCGGAATTTGTAAACAAGAATAGATGCATTAGTGTTCGTTTAGTATCCAAGGAAGTTAAAAGCATTAAATTTTGATAATTCACATAATAGATCCCTATGACCAGAATATTTCATTGATTATTTTTATAAAAGATGGATCCCATGTCAGGCTTCGACATCCGTCTTATGTTTACATTACCGCCCATGAGACAGTACACTGCAGTACAAAAGATGCGTGCACCTCTGAAATAACTTTCCTTGTATTAAATCCTTGGATACATTAATAAACCAATTTCCAGTTTGTTATTGAGGTCTAACACTTATTTTGTTTTGCTGTATATGTATTATATAAACATACACTTAGGTGTTCCTGATAATATTCCTTGTGTTCCTGGTAGTCCCTGCGTTCCTGTTGAATGAGCTAGAAGAAGATTGGACCTGGTTTGATTCCTTCTACTACTGTTTTATCTCCCTAACTACAGGAACAGTCAAGATTTATTTGAAAAAAAAGAATTTTAACTATTTTTAGCCAAAGGTCGGATTTAATGAAATGGTGAATCAGTTAAACTAGGTCAGGATAGTTTAAAAGTGTTACCCACTGTATTTCTCTTTTGCACTCTCAGTCATAATAGAGAAACAGTTCAACTTTATGTACATGGTTTAACTACTTCTTGCATTTCATTTATTTCGACCTCTTCAGTCTACGTAAAGAAGAAAGGATGCAGGGGAGAGGTAATTCAACTAGATACGGAGAGTTTAATAACTTCTGCTCACCAGTTCAACTGAGTCCCTCTCTATTTATAAAATTTCATCTCTGTTTCAAAGGACATTTTAAAATATTGGACAGATTTTCTCCCTCTTTTCACCACTCTTATTTTCTCAAATACATTTAAATTTTTGATGAGGATTCATGCATACGTAAACATGAAACATTCCAAAACTTTAGACATAAAACTTTAATCAAGAGAATGGTTTCTCAGGAGTTCTTTTTTACCTGAATTGTCAAGAAGATTAGATTTTACTTTAGCTTTTCCTCGGGTGGTAAGGTTATGCCAAAAATACGTTTTTTATAATTGTTTTTTTTATTTTTAAATAATGAACAGGAAGAAGAGAAAAAATGCGACTTTAAATCAAAACAAACTAAATTTGGTAAAAATAAAATTTCTAGATGGAAAAACTATTTTTTCAGTTCTACTCAAATTATTTAAACTTGAGCAAACTAGAAAAAATAAAAATTCCGGCAACATTTTTTCGCACTTAAAAATACCCATTACAATGACATAAATAGATATTTTTGCACGGAATGTGGCGCATTAGTAGGAAAACTACTCTTAAATTAGGCCAAAAAGAGTTTAATTTTACAATTCCCATATGATAGCATAACTGGAGACAGTTAAAGTCTTACTTGAATTAGCTTTTTCTTAGAATTTTTGGATGAATAAAAATATCTATTCATTGATAACTAATGAGTCTTAATTGGTTTATTATTCATAAGTAATAAATTCGTTGTGTCAGAACAGGCTGCTTAATGAAATTGTTTCAGAAAATCGAAAAACAAGATGTTTAATCAGTCGCTACATGAAAGTAACCTAATTAATTCTTTATTAGGATATATTACAAGGTTTATATTGGTTTCTTATGAATTAGCAGTACGATATATCAAGGTCATTTCCTGTAAAGAAAACAAAATATTATACTCAGGCATAAAAAACCGTGCTTTTATTTTTGAGAATGTGGGGATAAATATTTTTTTTTAGAAAATATGCACCCTTTTTTATCTTCAGTATTTAAATAGTACAATCATATATTAATAACAATACAGATAAAACACAAGATGTCGTCTTTTTAAGATTTAAGGGTTTTGTCGCTCACAATACCCCTAAGACATAAGCTCAAAAAGTTCCGCGCAGGCGGCGTTGAATTACAAGACAGAGAGTGAGCATGCGCGTAACTCCTTCGGGCCTCTGCCTCAGGGTCATTGTGAACGAAAAACCACTAAATCTTGAAAAGACGACACATAGTGTTCTATCTGTGTTGTTATTAATCTATGAGTACAATTTTGTACAATATTGAAACTCTGGCGTAAATCAGGATAAAGATTTTTTGTTCTGCTGTGTACTATCTTTGGGCGGAAAACTAAACACACAAGACGGATCTCACAGCCTGACATGGAATCTGTTTTCACAAAAGTAATTTATGAAATATTCTGGTCATAGGAAACTATTATGTGAATTATCAAAATTATCAAAATGAAATGCTTTTAACCTCCTCGGATACTAAACCAACACTGACGCATCAATTCTTGTTTACAAAGTCCGCTTAGAGAGAACTGGTTTCAATATGTACGCAGAGTATTCCCGACCGCAATTAATTTTCCTTGCATTATAACCTTGCCTCAACTAAGATATCGGAGTGTATTACAATGATTTGCAGTACTCTAACTGAAGAAATAATAGGGTTCGTTTAAGATTGTAATTTCGTTTTCCATTTCATTTTCAAGTAACCTTTATTCAAAGAGCGACAAGCTCGATTAACATCGGTTCCCATTAAAACTTTATTAAATAAAAGCTTGAAAACCCATCTTTGACCGAAAATATTAGCTTTTCCATACATTTTCTTAGTTCTCAAAATTTGAGGCTAATCGGTCAAAGGGTTCGTGAGTTATGATCGGACACACAAACAGACATCAAACAGACATAAAGACATCCTGCATCTTTAAGATATAAAGAAGGTAGACCATGTTTTCATATTTTTAGACTAACTATCTATATTCTTTATTTATTTTCAATGTCGACGCACAATTCCCATGATTCCTTAAACTAGAAAGGTTGATTTAAAAAAATATTTTTTAATCTTATTTTCTAAACATTATAATGATGGTATTAGTAAATTCTGAGAATCATTTAGAGAGAAAAACATTTGAACAAATTTTCTATTAAACCTTTCTTTATAATACAATTGTTTATTTGATCTTTCTCGGAAAAGATTGGATGGAAATGGCTTTAGAATTAAGAGTTCAATCATTCTATCATATTGGTCAAATATTTTAAACCTTAAAAATCAAAAGTGCACGCTCAAGCTCAGAAATCTTCGGAGTCCAGGGGTGCCTAGCTCCCAAAATGTAAAATATGTTTTTTAAATATAACCTTGATTCTGAGAATAGTTGGACTCGGGGATTTTATCCCTGGAGATAATTACGGACAACAGAATAGACCTCTATACAAGGCAGCCATTACAGGTATAAAAATTTATAGATGGCAGCCATTACAGGTAGATAGATAGATAGATGGCAGCTATTACTGGTAGATAGATAGATCGATCGCAGCCATTACAGGTAGATAGATATATGGCAGCCATTACAGGTAGATAGATAGATAGATGGCCGCTATTACAGGTAGATAGATAGATCGATGGCAGCCATTACAGGTTTATAGATAGATAGATGGCAGCTGTTTTAGGTAGATAGATAGATAGATGGCTGTCATAACAGGTAGATAGATGGATAGATGGCAGCTATTAATGGTAGTTAGATAGATAGATGGCAGCCATTACAGGTAGATAGATAGATAGATGGCAGCTATTACAGGTAGATAGATAGATAGATAGATAGATGGCAGCTATAACAGGTAGATAGATAGATAGATGTTAGCCATTCCAGCCTTCCAGGTAGATAAATTGCTACTGGGTCTGTTTGGTATGATGCTACTAATAATAATATATTTAGTATACCTGCTACTGGGTCTGATTGATAATGCTACTAATAAAAATATATTTAGTATACCTGCTACTGGGTCTGATTGGTATGATGCTACTAATAATAATATATTTAGTATACCTGCTACTGGGTCTGATTGGTATGATGCTACTAATAATAATATATTTAGTATACCTGCTACTGGGTCTGATTGGTATGATGCTACTGATGACAATATTCACCTCTATCCCTGAACTAGATTGCACTGTATGGTTTCTTCCCTCACTAAACTACCAGGTACAGATCAGGCTAGTTTAACCCGATCTTGGTTGGACTTTTTTTTCTAACATAGATTGGAAGGGGGTGGATTCCACCTTCACCACCTCCCCCCCCCCCCTTTGATTTGCCAATGGAGATAGGGCATTATGATACGTGTACGTCACTAGTCCAATTTTGGAAGGTCTACTCTTCTTTGAACATTCTAGATCCGAGTTTTTACACTTTACATTAAAAATCTCAATTAAGAAATACATCATTAAGAACCTTTTTATAAATTGTTAATTTTCTTAACTTTTCTAATCGAATTGGATGCATGGGATACGAAAACTATTAAAAAGAACATTAAATGCTTTAAATGCACAATTCTTGTTTGAGAGGGTAATGCCTGATTTAGAACGGTATCCTTAAAACCTCTTTTGTGTTCGTCGAGTACAGAGATGTTTGTGTAAACGTATCTTAAACCTCTTGTATGATCAGCTGCAAATTCCGCTGTGCGCTGCATTGATTTCAGACTTTACACAGTGCACATAGGAATTTTCAGAGGATCAAACAATCGGACATTCTACTCTTTGCATGGAGGGTTCCTTGAAAATACGCTTACATCACCTATAATGTCGTCTTCATATTCCAATGTTTTCTGGTTATCACCGTTTCAATCTTTAAACATTAATGAGATACTTCTAACTTCAATGTTTCAAACTGCTGCTATTTCATTTCTTATTCATGCGTAGTAAAAAACACTCTTATTATTATAATTTTTAGCGACTTTAAGTTGATTTTTAAATGAAAAACATCAACAAATTTGATTTTAAAAAGTAAGTTATAGAAAAGTAAATCTACAGGATCACCCAAAAAGAGTGAAACTGTAAAGACGTCCTGAACCGGAAATCATATTGCGTACATTGTAATATAATATGTGAACCGGAAACTATAACATACATTGTAATATAATATGCAAAATATGTAAAACCGGAAACCATATTGCGTACATTGTAATATAATATGTAAACCGGAAACCATAACGTACATTGTAATATAATATGTAAACCGGAAACCATATTGCGTACATTGTAATATAATATGTAAACCGGAAACCATATTGCGTACATTGATATAATATGTAAACCGGAAACCATATTGCGTACATTGTAATATAATATGTAAAACCGAAAACCATATTGCGTACATTGTAATATAATATGTAAATATGTAAATGAAATATTTTTTTATTATTACTAACATTAGGTGGAAAAAATAATCAAAACAGCCAAGAGCTATTTTCCACCTGATTGCTTTATACTTGTACTGTGAATATAATCATCAATTTTGTGATTGTAAACACTATCTGTATACAGATACATTTATTTTAGCAATAAACGTTATCTTATCTTATCTTATCTAAACCGGAAACCATATTGTGTACATTGTAATATAATATGTAAAACCGGAAACCATAACGTACATTGTAAACCAGAAAACTGTGGAATAGGAAGACGACATTAAAGCAATCTTTAAGTGTAATTGATGCTTTTACAATAGTTTACTAGCTTAAAAATTACATTTTTAAGTGGAATTACTAATATCTGTTTACTTGAAAACTCCCATCCAAGATACCAGAAATATATATAATTGATTATAAGAAAATTCTTATCTGACACTGCCTGGAAATAAAAGCTTTTAATTTGTTCCGAGACGAAAAAGTGACTTTTCATTTCCGGTAAAACAAGTTTTTCTTGGGTTTTCAGAATTATTTACAATTATATAAAAATGAAATCCCATGTACAGTCTAAGTACAGTCCAAGTACAGTCCCAGTACAGTCTAAGTACAGTCCAAGTACAGTCCAAGTACAGTCCCAGTACAGTCCAAGTACAGTCCAAGTACAGTCCAAGTACAGTCCAAGTACAGTCCCAGTACAGTCAAAGTACAGTCCAAGTACAGTCCCAGTACAGTCCAAGTACAGTCCCAGTACAGTCCAAGTACAGTCCCAGTACAGTCCAAGTACAGTCCAAGTACAGTCCAAGTACAGTCCAAGTACAGTCCAAGTACAGTCCCTTTTAATCCTGTATTTAGTATCTACGTCATTGTTAAGTATAAAGTATAGGAGAAGTTTCAAGAGTTTTTATCTTTACAGATTTCACAGATTATACAAGACTGTAGTTGTTAGTTTACAGATTATACAGATTAGACAAGACTGTAGTTGTTAGTTTACAGATTGTACAGATAAGACAAGACTGTAGTTGTTAGTTTACTGATTATACAGATTAGACAAGACTGTAGTTGTTAGTTTACAGATTATACAGATTATACAAGACTGTAGTTGTTAGTTTACAGATTATACAGATTAGACAAGACTATAGTTGTTAGTTTACAGATTGTACAGATTAGACAAGACTGTAGTTGTGTGTTTACATATTATACAGATTATACAAGACTGTAGTTGTTAGTTTACAGATTACACAGATTAGACAAGACTGTAGTTGTTAGTTTACAGATTACACAGATTATACAAGACTGTAGTTGTTAGTTTACAGATTTCACAGATTAGACAAGTTAAGACTGTAGTTGCTAGTTTACAGACTACACAGATTAGACAAGACTGTAACAGATTGCACAGATTAGACAAGACTGTAGTTGTTAGTTTACAGATTACACAGATTAGACAAGACTGTAGTTGTTAGTTTACAGATTTCACAGATTAGACAAGAACTGTAGTTGTTAGTTTACAGATTACACAGATTAGACAAGACTGTAGTTGTTAGTTTACAGATTTCACAGATTAGACAAGAACTGTAGTTGTTAGTTTACAGATTACACAGATTAGACAAGACTGTTGCTGTTAGTTTACAGATTACACAGATTAGACAAGACTGTAGTTGTTAGTTTACAGATTACACAGATTAGACAAGACTGTAGTTGTTAGTTTACAGATCACACAGATTAGACAAGACAGTAATCTGTATTCCTTCTGTGTAATCTGTGTTTTATTCTAAAATATAATGTCTTAAATTCTCCGAAGGAAGGGGGGATAGTGGGTAAGAGTATGAGGAGGGGTGAGGGGTAAATATCTCTAGAAACATTAAATATTTGTAAGACAGGAAAACTCTCTGAATCTACTAGGGTTTCCTCGAAATAACCATTTTTTTGAGCAAAACTTGCAGAATTTTCGCGCAAATTTTTTAATGCAAATTTTTGCGCATCTTTTGCTTTTAAAGCGCAATAAGCGCTTTTGTGCATTTTTTTAATTACTTGCGGAAAACGCAAAAATAATATTTTACGCAAATTGACCAAAATTGAGAGGTTCAGTCGATTTTCAGCACAGAATCAAACAACTGAAGGTTTATTACAAAAATTTACATAAAAACAAAATTATGATTAGGCTAATCTGAATTGGTTACTTTTGTCACAAAAACTTCAAATTGAGGGACAAAAATTAATAAAATAGAAATAAAAAATTGAAAGATGAAAATATATGTGAAGTTTTGTTTAAATGTCTGAATCTTTGTATGGTGGCAACCATAGATATTTCAAATGTTAACTACTTCTGTTGAATGCATATGATGATTAAAATAACATAGGGTTATGCTGACTGCAGAGATATAAAAAACCCTGAGCTATCAAATTTCTATACAGCCTCAACTTTGAAGTGTCTCAACGCCTTGGCTTTTGGTTGTACCCCACAAATCTTTTTTCCTTTTCTTCTAGGCTTAGACATTTTAAAAATACTACATGTCTGATTCTAGCTAGTTTTAAAGGAGTAGTTGGCAAAATACTGCTAGATTTTTGTGTGAGAGCGTGCACATCTTGATTTGAAGTGTGCCATCATGCATCAGGTTGCAAAGCTAAGTTTTGGCAAGTTATCAGTTCGCTTTTTAAGCATAGCAAAAAGTGCAATCTCATAGATAATTAATGTATACAGTCAAAACCTTTAATTAACCTTTTAATGAGAATATGTTCCGTAAAATGCGAAAACAGAATAACGCAATTTTGCGCGGAATGAAGTTTACAAATGATTGCGCAAAGCTCAATTTTTTCGAGCAAACATTTAGTGCAGTAAAAGCAAAAAAAATCGTTTTCCTTCGAAAAAATTGCGCAAAAGTTATGCATTAAAGAATTAAATTCTTTTTAAAGTTGTTTTCATGAAAAAATATATTTTAGATTCAATTCTTTGAAAGGATTGGAAAGGAATTGAGTCTTTGGAACAAAATCAAATATTTAAACCTCAATAGCTTTAGAACTCGATGTTCTAAACCTTTGATATTTCAAACTCAGATTATTTGAGCTAACAGAATTCATAGTTTGAAATATCTAAGGTCAGCAACATTTGGTTCCAAGAATATAGTGATTAGAAAATCAGAGTTTGTGGCAAAGACTCAATTCCTTTGACTGAAGAAGTAGATTAGAGTTGAAAAAAGATATTAATATATTTTAACAACTTTTACACAAATGTATTGTTGTCCTGTTATATATATCAATTTAGCTGGAACAAATAAAAAAATCGATTTTTAAAATAAAATTTACTTTTCTAACCTATGCTATTTCTTGGGTACCTCTAAGTTTCCTCAAAAATTTAAGCCCAATCAGGTCCAGCCGTTTGGCCAGCTAGCTGCAGACATAATATTTATGAGCCACGAGCTTTATTATATAGATTAATCTTACTATAGGAGGAAATAATTCATTTGGTGCACTGTCCCATTTTGCCTGTATGTAAAGATGCTGAACAACTTGTTTTAACCGCCTAGAAGTCTGTTAAGTAATCCTAAAGATCGGAAGTTTACAGGATATTGTAATTTTGTTTGAAAATTTGAATTTATTTGGAATTTCTACTTTTAAGATGTTGAGATTTATTTGGAAATAAATCATTTAAAGAATTGACATAACTCAACTACTGAATGAAGAATTCGATGTACAAATTAACTGATTAATTGATTAACTGATTAATTGATTAATTGATTAATTGATTAACTGATTAATTGATTAATTGATTAATTGATTATAATAATGTAAAACTACTTTACAAGGAAGCAGCGTAGTTTCGCTAAAACTTCGCAGAGCGGGAGGTTATTTTACTTGAATATTCCAAGGGACGTTAAATAGCATTACATTCCGCTGGGGGGGGGGGGGATCATGGGTTGGAAATATTGGTCAAAAGGTGGTAATAATAATTTTTACAACTACTTTACATAAAAGTTAAGAGAATTTTACTTAACCAAGGGTTTCCCAAGGTTCGAGGAAGTAAATTATTTTTAATTTCCCACTTCGCAGGGTGGGTGGTTATTTTTTTAATTGTCCCAAGGTAATGTAGGTAAAAAGGTGGTAAATTAACATAATGAATTTGATTTATTAATGTATCAAGGATGACCCTGAGCGCCAACGTCTGCACACTGGAAGTACAGGAACCCTGTACAGTACACAAGATGCACAGGTATAGTGTGTACAGTACACAGGATGTACAGGTAGAGTATGTACAGTACACAGAATGCACAGGTATAGTGTGTACAGTACACAGGATGCACAGGTATAGTGTGTACAGTACACAGAATGTACAGGTAGAGTATGTACAGTACACAGTTTGCTCTGGATAGTGTGCACAGAACAGTACACATGATGCACAGGTAACGTGTGTAAAGCACTAAAGATGTACAGGTAGAGTGTGTACAGTACACAGTATGCTATGGTATAGTGTGCACAGAACAAAGATGCACATGTATACTGTGTACAGTACACATGATGAACGGTATAATGTGTACAGTACACAGGATGCTCAGATATAGTCTGTACAGTACACAGGACGCTCTGGTATAGTGTGTACAGTACACAGGATGCTCAGGTATAGTGTGCACAGTACACAGGACGCTCAGGTATACTGTGTACAGTACACATGATGAACGGTAGTGTGTACAGTACACAGGATGCTCAGATATAGTATGTACAGTACACAGGACGCTCTGGTATAGTGTGTACAGTACACAGGATGCTCAGGTATAGTGTGCACAGTACACAGGACGCTCAGGTATAGTGTGTACAGTACACAGGACTCTCAGGTATAGTGTGTACAGTACTCAGGTTGCACATGTTTCGTGTAAATTACACAGAATACACAGGTATAGTGTGTACTATGTACAGTACACGGTATAGTGTGTACACTGTAAAGTACACAGGATGCACAGGTGTAGTGTGTATTATGTACAGTACAAGGTCAATACCGTATAATACCGTACATTCACCCTGTACTGTGTAGTGTGTACATTACAAAGATGTACAGGTAGATTGTGTACAGTACACAGACGCACAAGTAGAGTTAAATATTAAAATATTTTGGAAATGTCATTTTTACTGATCAAATTTCTGATCAAACTTGAGATCAAACTAAAAGTAAATATACTCTTCCTGATTAGAACAGTTTTTAAGTAGACAACTTCCATTCCAATTTTAAAGGGACTTTCAACGGATTTTCATGTGCGATTCACATTCGTAAATTTTTGTGAATAAATGAAATATTTTTGTTTTCCTGTTTGAAAATTGATTATTTTCTATACATAAGTGACACATAAAGGAAATTTTTTAAATTTAAAATTTCAAAGATAGAAAAACTATGATATCTTCCTCATTGCTACTCTGATAGAGATTTAAAAGATATCTTTACGAATAGGACATGCCACTGTTTTGGAGCCATTTGAAATTACGTATACAGTCCCTTTAAGATAAAAAAACAAGATGTTTTCTTAGCTCTTTCCCACTTTACAAAATTAAAATTGTTTTTTTTTCTCACTAAAGAAATAGAATGTGATGAGTACAAAGAGAGAAATTTATTTTATTCTTTTAGTGAAGAAAGTTTAAAGAGATTTTTTTTTTATTCGTCATATTTCTAGGAGACCCTACGAGTAGTCCGGGCCAGGTCACGAAGGGACGACGAAGCTGAATGGGACGATTCTAGATCTACCTGCGGGGACGAAACTCCGGGACATGGTCGTCCTTAGACCTGAGGACATGGTCGTCCTTAGACCTGAGGACATGGTCTTCATTAGACCTTAGGACATGGTCGTCCTTAGACCTGAGGAAATGGTCGTTCTTTGACCTGAGGACATTCGTCCTTAGATCTAAGGACATGGTCGCCCTTAGACCTTAGGATATGGTCGTCCTTTGACCTGAGAACATGGTCGTTCTTAGACCTGAGGACATGGTCGTCCGTAAACCTAAGGACATGTTCGTCCTTAGACCTGAGGACATGGTCGTCCGTAGACCTGAGGAGATTCGTCCTTACATCTAAGGACATAGTCGCCCTTAGACCTTAGGATATGGTCGTCCTTTGACTTGAGAACATGGTCGTCCTCAGACCTGAGGACATGGTCGTCCTTAAACCTAAGGACATGGTCGTCCTTAGACCTGAGGACATGGTCGTCCTTAGACCTAAGGACATAGTCGTCCTTAGACCTAAGGACATGATAAGGTGGGTTTTTGTATGGTTTATCATAGATCTGCCCCCCCAGATCTGCCCCCCCCCCATATCTAATAACGGATCGAAATAGTTATGCTTCACAATTTTTTTTTTTGTTAATCTATTATAGAAATTGAATGATGATGAAAAATTGAAAATGCGTTTTTTCTACGACTAAATATTAGAATTTTTCTATTTCTGGCTAATTTACATCACAATATTTTTCTACTTTAAATTCCCAAATATAAAGTTCAACTTTTATGTCAGAAAAAAAAATTTAGATCAATTTATTTTTTAGACAAATTTTAAGTTGCAGCTTCTAGTAAGATTTGTATACTTTTTAATTTTGCAAACGAATAATTTTGAATGAAACAAACATATCGAATCTTTTGATACCGGTAATTATCACAAATACAACGCTTCTAAAACCAAAAAACGCGAAACTATTACCTATGAATTTTCTTACAAAGAATGTTTTTCTATATATGGAATATTAGAAAATATCATTAAAAAATCCAATATCTATTTGAATTACCGTAAAGGTATTTTTTTTAATTTAAAATTTTTGAAGGAATAGAGTTGAAGGTATTATATCAATGTTTGCATAGTATACACAGATAGGACAAGAGAGTTGAAGGTATTTATATCAATGTTCCCACATAGTATACACAGATAGGACAAGAGAGTTGAAGGTATTTATATCAATGTTTGCATAGTATACACAGATAGGACAAGAGAGTTGAAGGTATTTATATCAATGTTTGCATAGTATACACAGATAGGACAAAAGAGTTGAAGGTATTTATATCAATGTTCCCATAGTATACGCAGATAGGACAAGAGAGTTGAATGTATTTATATCAATGTCCACAAAGTATACCAGATAGGACAAGAGAGTTGAAGGTATTTATATCAATGTCCACATAGTATACGCAGATAGGACAAGAGAGTTGAAGGTATTTATATCAATGTTCTCATAGTATACACAGATAGGACAAGAGAGTTGAAGGTATTTATATCAATGTTCCCATAGTATACACAGATAGGACAAGAGAGCTGAAGGTATTTATATCAATGTTTACATAGTATACACAGATAGGACAAGAGAGTTGAAGGTATTTATATCAATGTTCCCATAGTATACGCAGATAGGACAAGAGAGTTGAAGGTATTTATATCAATGTTCTCATAGTATACACAGATAGGACAAGAGAGTTTAAGGTATTTATATCAATGTTCGCATAGTATACACAGATAGGACAAGAGAGTTGAAGGTATTTATATCAATGTTCCCATAGTATACACAGATAGGACAAGACAGATAGTGTTTGTTCATGATAACATTATACAGTACAATCTCTTCTGGAATTAGTTTTGTGGATTTAATCTGACGGGAACATTTTAGTTTTAGGTTACCCTATATTTGGAGAGTGCCATGCCCGATTCTCAATGGTAAAAAATTTGAAAGATGTATTTCTAGCTTGAAAGTGTTTAATTCTCACAATTTCCTCCGTTGCTTTGTAGTAAGAAACCCGCAAGTCGCTTTTGTATAGAAAAATGATGAAAATAACGATTTTTTTAAATAAAAAACAATTTTTTTATCAGAGAAAGATTAAGGGTACCGTTGTGAATCGGACTTGCCACTCTATTCATAAGTTTAAAGTGTATTTGTAATATTTAAAACCATGTTGTAATGTGCTTAATGTTAAATGTTAGAAAACATTAAAGAAAGCGAATTGAATATATATGCATGTTAACATTTATACACAACTGAACAAATATTTCATAAAAATGTAAAACTAAATGTTTCTCTAGAGCTTGTTTGTAGATATAAATGTATGTATAGCATTTTTACATAGGTTTTATAAATGTCAAATTTCACAAATTAGGCGTTTCAGTAGTAGCACATCAGAAGCCATATCAAATCAATGTTTATTTTAATGAAGGATGTGTTTGATTTTGAAAGGAAACTAGAGGAAGGAAAAAGATGAAAAGGCCATTTTAGTTAATCTTCAAGTTTTGACTTTTGAGACAACAAGATGTTCTGAACCAAGGTTATAATGCAAGGAAACTTATTTCAGAGGTGTACGCATCTTTTGTACTGCAGTGTACTGTCTCTGGGTGGTAATGTAAACAGAAGACGGATGTCGAAGCCTGACATCTTTCACATAAAAAATCAATGAAACATTCTGGTCATAGGAAACTATTATGTGAATTTTCAAAATTATCAAAATTTAATGCTTTTAACCTCTTCGGATACTAAACGAATACTGATGCATCTATTCTTGTTTACAAATTCCGCCCAGAGAGAACTGGTTTCAATACGCAACTGCAAATAACTTTCCTTGCATTATAACCTTGGTCTGAACACTATTTTCCTTCCATGGATCAATTTTCATTATTTCTCTTAGTCACTTTTTTACTTTAAATCTGTTAAAAACAACAAAAAATAGCTGCACTATTTTTTATTTTCATGGATTGTACAGTAGTTTTTTTCCAATCGTGTTAGTGCAACTAAAGATAGAAATGGCATACTAATGTACACCCCTATATGATGTACAAAAATTGGAATTAATATTTATTTTTCGATGTAATAACGGAATTCGTGTAATAAATAATCAAAAAAACTTGTTAAAATCATTTTTTAGAATTTAAAGTAGTGAATGAAGTGATTGTATTTGCAGGGGCGGGGATTCTTTGGATTTGACCACTGAGAGATCAGTCACCCTAAACTAATCTGGAGTACACTGTCCGAATAGTTAGTGGGTTTTAGTGGAGAGTTTAGTTTATACCCCCTAGGACTCTGAGTATAGATTGTGAATTCATTCTGAGCTGGTAACTTTAGAATTAAACCATCAACCTCGATCTCTTAATCTGTATATACAAAATACTCTTTCTTTTTAGATATTTTCACCAGGTTCCTTCCAATTGCACGCAAAATTTCGAATTTCCAGGTTTCTGATTGGCTATTCAGGATCCTGTACACGCCACTCTGATTGGTTGAATTCTATAGACTTTTCTGGATACAAACTAAAGATCAAATTAATCTTGAGATTAATACAAAGAGGAGATAAAGAATTGATCTCAATATCCACAAATCTAAAGTTGTCAGCTCAGAAGCCGAATTTAAAGAACTAGGCTTTTAGATAGATCTTCTATTTAAATTGTGAACATGTTCTTTTTGTTTACATTTTAAAACAAATAAGAAAAAATTTTGCAAATCTAAAAAAAAATCGCGGATTTTCAAGAATTCAAATTTTTTTTACAAAATTAAAAACCTTTAAAACACATTTTTTAAATTTTTATCATTCATAATCCTTCCCTGTGGTCACGTGATGTCCCACAAAAATTTGAGCCCGATCGGTTCAGCCGTTTTGACGTTTATTGGATACAAACAAACAGACAAACAGACAAGCCAAATATGGATAGTTCCACTTAAAATTGTATTCAATGTTTCAGGATTTAAGCCAACGGCGCTCAATTGAAACCGGTTTTTGGCGGATTTGAGACGCGGCTCAAATTTATTAAATTCGGACTCTGTTCATTTAAAAATTCTCAAAACGCAATTTTTTTTAAAAACGGGGGAAATTGTCCAATCCCGGCACCAATGACATATTCAACATTTAATCTAATCGAAGGGGCAATGGACTAGTTTAAAATTCAAAAGTTTTCCCTCTGTTCTAAATGCTTCAGTACTCATTCATCGAGTACTATAAGTGGAATTTTACCAATTTCGTGGTCGGACTTGCTCTGGCCATATTTTCTTTAGGATCTCATTATAAAAGTAATCAAGAATTATATTTATTTTTTTAACATGGAATTGACAAAAAGTAAATGGAAATATTTTACAGTTTTTAACCTTAAGGAACTATTAACTGTTAAGGTAAAAAGAAAGGGTTATAGACAAGCCAAGAAATTTCGAGAGTTAATCGAGACCAAGAGAAATTTTTCATTTTAGCCTAAAGGGAGTGACTGGCAATGTATGGTAGTTGAACAGAAAATGTAGGATTATGGAGAAATTTTTCAGAATTCATTTAGACAAATAAAACGTTTTAATTATGTATAATTAATGAAATTTGAGCGCAAAGTCGACGTTCCAAATCATTCATTTGGGGGGAAACGTTTTGAGAATTTTTTAAATAGAATTTTCGCCTATATAGACTTACATACACTAGCTGTATTCTTGAATTTTCGAATAGCAAAGCCTATAATACCTCACAAAGTTGTTCTTAAGAGCCAGAGAGCTCTATACGTTATGTATTATTTCTTAATCCATCAAAAATAAGTTTTATTGTGAATTTCGCGCATTTAGTTTCTAGTTTCTAATCATAAACTGGACATATTGTGGATATTTAAATTTTTAAATATGTGATACTATTTTCCGTAAAAAAACACAAGACTATGACAAATTTGCAATTAGCTTTTATGAGAAATTAGATCTTTAATCTTTTATAAGGATTCAAATTTTTGGATTGAAGTATTTGTTTATATGCATGCAACGTTTTATCCTTTATTATTAGTAAAAAGAAGAATAATCATTTTTTGTAATTTTATTTTATTTACATTTTAATTTTACAAAAATTTACATTTATTTAAAAAATTTTTTTTGAGTGTGCAGATCAAACTATAAAGATAAACTTCAGTTTTTTGAGTTTCGATTTATTGTTTGCTTTTGTCATTAAAAAAGTTTAACATAAGATATGTATGAAAAAAATACAAAAATCTCTAGAATATTCAAAGTAATAAATATAAATAATTTCCTTTTACTATTATTCGAACACCCTGTCGAATATACAATGCATTAGTCTATAATCTTTATTAAAAAATAAGATAATCTTTATTGAAAACTATTGAGACACCCTGTTACAGGATATTTCATAATGAAATTAATATTAATAAATTCTTATTAAATATTCGGAAATCATTTTCTTCTTTTTTCCTCTTAATCCTCATACTAAACATATTATATATCAAAATAAATAGTAATTTTGATTATTTTAATCGGACCGTGTAGGCAAAACTTCAAGTAAACCTTTATTTATAGATATTAAGTATTTACAACGCTACGCTTAAAATCTCTTTCTGGTCAAGAATGTAATGCAAGGAAAGTTAATTGCAGTTGCGCATACTCTACGTACATATTGAAACCAGCTCTCTCTGGGCGGAATTTGTAAACAAGAATAGATGCATTTGTGTTTGTTTAGTATACGTGGAGGATAAAAGCATTTAATTTTGATAATTTTGATAATTCACATAATAGTTTCCTATGACCAGAATATTTCATTGATGATTTATGTGAAAGATGGATCCCATGTCTGGCTTCGACATCCGTCTTGTGTTTACATTACCGCCCAGTGACAGTACACTGCAGTACAAAAGATGCGTACACCTCTGAAATAACTTTCCTTGCATTAAATCCTTGTTTCTGATGAAGAATAAATACGTATTCTGTGTGGTTACTCTACTGACTGATTGCTGCAGAGACTTGTGGATGCAATTTATCAGGATTCATACTTTTGTGATTGGAAAACAACGATATCGTTCTCATTGTTACAATCTATCTATCTATCTATCTATCTATTTATCTATCTATCTATCTATCTATCTATCTATCTATCTATCTATCTATCTATCTATCTATCTATCTATCTATCTATTTATCTATCTATCTATCTATCTATTTATCTATCTATCTATCTATCTATTTATCTATCTATTTCTCTATCTATCTATCTATCTATCTATCTATCTATCTATCTATCTATCTATCTATCTATCTATCTATCTATCTATCGATCTATCAATCTATCTATCTATCTATCTATCTATAGCTATCTACCTCTATTTCGGAATCGTCATCTTTGATCGGCAAAACCTGAAATAAAATAAAAATAAAACATGAAAATCATCAAATTAGAAAATAAATTACTTTTTAGAATTTATACCTTAGTTCTCTCTTCGTCCAGGACTTGACAGATCTTTTTTCTAACTTCATACCAGAACTTACTATTCGTCACTCCAGTACCCTGTACAGTGTACTACTGTGCATATATATAATTATACAACTGTTTAGTGAACTGTGTACATATGTAATTATAAAACTGTACATTGCACCAGTGTATACATGTTGTAATCTGTAAAAAAAACTGTCTACAGCGTACACTACAGTGTTTGTACTATGTACTAATGTGCAATTATTTAATTGTACATTGTACAGTTTACATACATATGTCACAATCTGTAAAAAAATGTAAATACTATGTAAAGTGTACACTGATAGAAGACACCCTAACATTGTCTTCGGAATATCGAATATTTTGTGAGAATTCGGAACAGAAAGTTAGGTTTATCTAACATTATTTTAGCTGGACAAAACTTGTGTTAGTTAGATGTGTGAGAATTAGGATTTTTTAATGCATATAAAAGTTTCTGCTACAAAATCTAATTTTCTAATCCTTATTTCTTAGCAACCACATTGTCATAGACCTTATATATTTCAAACTATGATTTCTATTAGATCAAATACTCTTAAGTTTGAAATATCAAATGTTTACAGCCTCGGGTTGCAAAGATTTAGAGAATTTGAGTTTATGGCAAATATTCAATTCTATAAAATTCTGATCATTCGAATATTTAACTATAGAGAGAGAGAGATTTTTTTGGCTTTAACAACTTAAATAGATATAAAAAGGACAGAGGAACTGGAAACTCTTTATAAACTCTTCTTTACAATTTGATGTTTACGATTTGATGTTTACAATTTGATGTTTACAATTTGATGTTACAATTTGATGTTTACAATTTGATGTTAAAATTTGATGTTGCAATTTGATGTTACAATTTGATGTTTACAATTTGATGTTTACAATTTGATGTCGTAAATATTTGAGAAATTAAAGCGGGTTTGAATGGTTTTAACGTTTTTGAATTGAGTGCTTCAAACACAGATCTTTTTATAAAAAAAATATTAGTCATAAATCTGCGGTTTTTTCTTCAAATTGTAACTTTATACTAATCATTTCTTAAGTGACCTTTCATTTCTAGAGAAGTATGTTCGATGCGCAACGGTAATCTTTAAAGCTTTGTTGGATCATGATTGAGATTTTCAGTTTTAATTTGTTTATTAATTTGTTTATATCATGGCTTCTCTACAAAATCACTTGCGCATTTTCTCAGGGAGGAAATGATAATAATTAAACCTTATTAAAGGGTTAAAGAAAACTTATGTGAATTGTACATGCCCCTCTTTCTATGAAAGGTGACTGAAGATTACTTGAATACAGATTATAAAATTTAAAATTTAAAAAATCATTATTTCACCTCTTTCTCCTTCTTTTTCAAGAACTGCCCAACCTGGGAATAAAAATACATTTTTATTTGTAAAAATATTTCACAAAATCATTTCTATCAGTCCAGCAAAGGAAACTTTAATTACTTGCCGAAAATTGAAATTGCTCATCTCTGTATTATTGCAACTTTTAATTAATAGCTTGAAATTTCAATTATTTTAGATAGCGCCATTAAATTATATCAAAGTCTGATGCTGGAATTTTAGATGTTTTTTTTCTAAGAAAACTTGAGATAAAAAATATTATATAGATCTCTATTAAATTATCAGTGACGTGTAGGAAGCCAAACATGGAAATAGAAAAATATTTTTCTTCCAAAAAGTGCTAAATATTAAATATTAAAATACAAACTAAACAAACTATACAAACTAAAGATTAAATTAATCTTAAGATTGATATATTTTCAGATCAGGACAACTTTTTAGTTGTCTTTGATTTTCGAAAATGAAAAAGTTTCAAAGTTTTGGTTTAATACAAAAACCACTTGTAACACATAGAAAACACCAAAGATGAGAGATATACGTAGAGAATTGATTTTTTTATTATAAATCATTTTCAAGATAATGTTTTTCTAAACTTCCAGTGCATATATATATATATATTCAGTCGCGCTGTCCAATCTGGACTACACAGTGTAAAGTTGACCCAGCACATTTTATGCAAAAAATGTAGCCTGCATGGCAAGATCACAGTGTTTCAATACAACAAAACGGCGGCTTAACACTTTTTGAAACAATAATAATAATGTATTTTAAGCACGATTAAACACGATTTAACGATTAAAAACATAGATTTAACGATTTCTAAAATTTGGGTACAGTATAATTACAAAATACTTTAATTTTAAACACTTAATTCTCGAAGCACCCAAACATTTGAGGCATATATTTTTCAAAACGCCAGAAAGGTACAAAGCATCTAAACTTAAACTAAAGCTAAATAATCTAGGTGTTCTGTTTCTCTTTGGTTTTGATTAAAGTTCTAACCTCTATCATATGTTCGGTTAAAAACAGGGTGGAATCATTTTCATCAGGGAACCTAACAACAAAATAAATAATATAATACATTCATAAAAAGTTCTGCAATAACTTATCGGTTCTGAGCAGAAAACTTTAAAATGGTGGATATCAAGATTAATGCTTAATCCTCTCTTTTTGCTAATTTGAAGACTTTTTTACTCTTAGATTAACTTTTAGAGATTATAGATGCGCTCTTTAACTTTTGAAAAACCGGTTTTTAATTTTTCTGCATTTATGGTGTCATATCAATTGGACTAGTGATTGATTGAAAGAAAGTTAAGTTTTGGATTAATGTTATTAAGACTAATGTTCAAAAGGACTATAGTCCTCAAATATGATAAAATATTTTTTTTTAAATTTCTTGTTCACATAATTGAATTTATATTTGTTTAAATGCTGTAAAAGCCGGTTTGTGAACAGCTGACTTTAGTTCAATCGGATATTAGTCCAATCGATACAGCATCGAATTGTATTTGTTATCAAGCATATCTTTATTACATGTAGTAGGTAATGTGATATCCAACAAGAGTGGATTAAAAATATAATTAAAAGTTTCCACCTGGGATATTCATACTAAGCGATTAGGATTAAGGGTATCCAATTCTAAAGTTTCCAGCTCTGGTAAAACAATGACTATATCTTAATCGTATAATTGTTACGTAGAAAGAGATTGAGAGGATAAAGTTGCTATTAGGAATTCTAATCTTTAAATGGAGGGCCAATTGTGTTTACGTCTAAAATCACTTAGGTTAATAATTTGTAATTAATTGTTTATCTCACCTTGGCTTCTTGAATTTTTCAAAAATAATTTCGGCAGATTCTTTCAAGCTAGCATCTAGTACAGTACACCAGTTCTCAAACATCTGTACAACAGAAACATTAAACATCATGTACAGCAGATTCTTTCAAGCTAGCATCTAGTACAGTACTCCAGTTCTCAAACATATGTACAACAGAAACATTAAACATCATGTACAGCATATTCTTTTAAGCTAGCATATAGTACAGTACACCAGTTCTCAAACATCTGTACAACAGAAACAAACAAAAACAATCATGTACAACAGATTCTTTTGATGTTTAATCAAGTACAGTAGACCAGTTCTCAAAAATCTGTACAAGATTAAAACAAACAGAATCATTAAAAAGTAAGTAGGTTCATACAGTACATGTACAGTTGTACACATATATAATTAATCACAAATAAGGTGGAAAAATACTTCAAGCGGAAGCAAACATTCGCGCAATTCCGTGCATTTCCACACAGATTTTTTTTTCCTTTTCAATACCAAATGATGCCAGATTCCGTGCAAAAAAATCTCGCAAAACTAGTGCTGCAACTGCAACAAAATTGCACACAAAAACACATTTTACCACGTGAAAATCTCTACTTAGCGCTTATGTAGTTACCATACTACAATAGAGGATTTATTTCATTGTACAGAAGTTTTTGCCCTAAATTCGACAACATTTTTCCCTTTCAACAAAGATTTTTTAACCGGGCTATTTGCACTGTGCTGTGGAACAAAAATTTTTGCGCAAAATGCGGAATTTGATTTTTCCCTTCCGCTACTCCGAAATTGGATTTTTCCCTTCCGCTACTCCGAAATTGGATTTTTTCCCTTCCGCTACTCCGAAATTGGATTTTTCCCTTCCGCTACTCCGAAATTGGATTTTTCCCATCCGCTACTCCGAAATTGGATTTTTCCGAAATGCTGTTTTTATTTAAAAAGGAAACTCTTTGCTTTTTATGTCGGCTAGTCGGCTTGTATCATCAAATTAAATATCAAACAAATATATAAATATAATGATTTGATTCATTCTGATCCGGGCTTTGATCATTTCAAGGGCCATAAAACTTTATATTTCCTGTGATTATCATCAACATTATATTCACAATTTAATCATTTCAAATTTTGATAACTTTTGTTAAAGTCTACTGGTAAAGTTCTTAGCTGGGAGCTTTCGAATTGGATAAATAGGATTAATATAAATGCCCGATATGGACACTTTAAATTTCCTGCTTAATCCACTCTCTTGGTTTAATTTTAAAAACTTTTCAGACTACAAACTAAACAAACTATACAAACTAAAGATTAAATTAATCTTAAGATTGATATATTTTCAGATCAGGACAACTTTTTAGTTGTCTTTGATTTTCGAAAATGAAAAAGTGGCCTAGAATGTTTTCAAAAGTTTATAGTTCGCAAAGGCTTTTTAAAATGTGGTTTGTCTATTTTATTTATTGCAGATATTTAGACATTTTTTATTTCGTTTAATGAATCTGTGCTTGTGCTACTTCATATTTACGTACTATTGTTGCATGTTCAATATGTACCATGGATGAGTTTATTATGTACCAGTACAACTGCTAGTTATGTACTAATACTGATGTTCTAATAATAAACTATAAAAACTGAGCTAAACATGTACAGATCGAACTTATCGAAAACATTGAGAAATTTCGAATATTTTTTTATTATTTGCATAACTTTATATTTTTCTTACAATTTCTCTAATCTGTCCTCTCCATAACGGAAACACTTGATGGGCATCATGAACTATCTACAGATGGAAAAAAAATCATAAAAACAGAAAAGTTTTTATAAAAAATATTCATCAAATCAAACTGAAAGGAATAAAGTGTTTATCTATTAATATTTACTAGCAACGAGCAAGAAGATGAAAAACTATACTGTAAATTCGTCTTCTTTACCTTAGCCCCCCGCCCCCTCCCATCCATCCACCTCCCCAGCCCCCTCTACTAGTTGTGATAAGTACTGAATGACTTTTTAACAAATATAATTCTTTTCCTTTGTAATTGTAGACCTCCTCTCCGGACCTGCCTCTAAATGATCCTAAAAAAAGTCGTCATTTATTTTAGATTGATTTAATTGTTAATTTAAAGAAAAATTCTCTGTTTTTTAAAAATGTTTTTCAAGTTATCATTATCATAATAGTTTTGAAGTTATCATAATATTTTTCAAGTTATCATAATGTTTTTCAAGTTATCATTATCATAATAGTTTTGAAGTTATCATAATATTTTTCAAGTTATCATAATAGTATTCAAGTTATCATAATAGTTTTCAAGTTATAATAATAGTTTTCAAGTTATCATAATGTTTTTCAAATTATCATAATAGTTTTCAAGATATCACAATATTTTTCAAGTTATCATAATAGTTTTCAAGTTATCATAATAGTTTTCAAGTTATCAGAATAGTTTTCAGGTTATCATAATATTTTCAAGTTACCATATTAGTTTTCAAGTTATCATAATAGTTTTCAAGTTATCATAATAGTTTTCAAGTTATCATAATAGTTTTCAAGTTATCATAAAATTTTATCATCACAATGCAAAAGCTTTAATACTATCAATACATTAATTTAATTGATTTCATAACCATCATTCAAATCTACCTACAGGGTGTCACACAAAACATGACAATTGGTGAATAATTTAAAATGTCTTCTTCCATAATTCGTTAAGTTGTTTGACAGCTAAAAAAAGAACATATGTTATAATGTCATATTGTAGTAAAATGTATTTCAAAGTAAAATATATTTGAGTAAAAGATTTTTTCTAACAAAATTAACAGCAAAAAGTCTTTAATAACTAAACTGTACATATGGAAGAAGACAAAACTATTCTCCAACTGAACTGTCATGTTTCGTGGGACACCCTGAATACATATAGGGTGTCCCACATCATAATGGCTCTAAATTACGATTTTCGGGACTTATCAGATTCAAGTAGAATGAATCATTTTGGAAATTGTATAAAGATAATTAAAAATAATAGCTTGTAGAAAATGCTAGGTTTTTCGAGTATTATGTGCGTATTTTAGCGTTTAAGCTTGGAAATAATCCATATGATATGGGAAGCTCTGAACAACAAATTTTATGACTTTCGAATTTCAAAAGTTCTATAAATGCAGATCAGTATTGTAAAAAAACATAAAAATATTTTCTTACTTTTAGGACAAGTCTTAGCTGATTTCGTAGTCGCTTCTCTTTAACCCAGGGGGATAGAATAAACTGACGTTCCAACAATCGATCAATCACCTAGAAATAATGTTTTATAGATTTAAATCAATTTTGAAAAAAATAGATTATTTATTCGATTTGATTTTTAAGAGAACAGATGTTTTTTCACATGTTTGCCTCGTTCTCATTAACCCCTGTTAACTTTACTTTAGAATATGTGTTAAAGGGACTGTTATTGTAATTTCAGGAGATTTTTATTTTATATCCAATTCACTACGGTGCCCTTAAACCCTTTATTTGAGAGTAGATTGAAATTTGACTCAACTCTAATTAAGAGAAATCAGCTGACCTATCTATCTATCTAATAGAATGAGATTAACCTATTCCGCCCATTTAAAAGGTCCGAACTCCGGTATAAAAAAAACAAGTTTAATGTATACAAGGCTGAAATATGAAATAAAATCTGTTTGAATTATTTCTGACCAGAAGAATATATTTAGCTACAATATTAAACACGTATACAAGTAGAAAAATGTCCTTTTACGTAATTAAAAGTGAGTATTTTTTTAATTTTGGAAAGTAAAAATTTGTGTTCAAAGCTGGGAACTTTTGAATGGTGGATATCGGGATTAATGCTTGATCCACTCTTTTTCTTAATCTCTAGATTAAATAATGCTTGTTCTCCTCTTGTTACTAATCTCCAGATTAATTAACTGATCGGGATTAAGGATATTTCATTCTAAAGTTCCCAGCTCTGATGAAATAAAGCAAATATTGTTCGTAGACTGATTCTTGTAGGGATTGTATAGTGAAGACGTTATTAATGCAAGTAAGCTTCCATTTATTAAGTTGGCATATCCCAGTCACAAGGTACCCTTGAAACATTTATCTGTTTAATAATCTAATTCTGATAATTTCTTCATTGTTTGCCTACAGTCTCTTTAAAAGTGAAAATATAAACGCATATATTAATGTTTAAAGGGACTGTAGACGTAATTTCAATTGTCCTTCCATTTAAAGAGTTGCATTTACGATTCACAACGGTAAAGGAAAAGGGTTTATTTCTGACTATTTACTTCTTTGTCTCAGCTGCATAAATCTACAAATCACTTTTATAAACAACTCAACCCCATTCAGTCATCTTCATTTGCTTACATTTTCTCTTTGAATACATTGTAAAACAAAAAACAAAAATTCGCGAATATTATAAAAAAATCCTGGATTTTCAAAATTATTAAAAATCATTGTGAGGTCCCACAAAAATTTGGGCCCGATCGGTTCAGCCGTTTTGGCGTTTATTGGATACAAATAGACAAGCAGAGTAAATATTCATTATAGAGAAGATAAATGACATGAAAGAGGAGTGGATGAAAATGCTTTTTGGTAGGTTCTACATCAAAAACTACCATGCCAATTATAATTCATATTTTCCCCTGAAAGTTAAGGGCCTTATAGTGGAAAAAATATTTTTATGCATGCACATTGCACAGAGACTGCTTTTGGAGCAAAGTGTTTCTCATGAATTTTGTCAAAATCACCCAACGTAAATTTTAAACTGATGAGTGAGATCGTTTTTTCTAAAGCCTCTATTTATAGTGGACACCTTTATGATATATTCACTAATTACATTAACTATCTACATTACTTCTGTAAAATACTACCTTTTAATGGTAACCATGGACATGAAGAATGAAGATCAAGTTACTAAACGGGGATGTCCCCAAAATTCTAGGGGGTGGGATAATTACTCCCAAGGATTCTAGGGAAGTAACTCCTATAAACCCCCTTATTTACGCCACTGATCCCTGATACAATCTTATTACCATTTGAACCTCGTCTGATGGTTCCCAGGGTTCAACTTCAAGGACAGGGATATTTCCAGATTTTCCAACTAAAGTAAAACTAAATTTATAAAGAAATTATTTAGGATAATCTAGATTAAATTTGATGAAATTTACGTAAGATAATTTGTATAAAAATTTGAAGAACATTTATTTAACATTTTGGATAAAATATTTAAAGAAAATTAACTTGAGATATTTTAGATAAAAAGTGAGAAAAATTTGAAAAAAAATTATTTAAGATTAGCTAAAATTAGTAAAGATATTTATTTGAGATATTTTGGATAAAAACCGGAAGTGAATTTTTATTTTAGATGAAAAAAGATGTTTGACAAAATACATATTTTCTGTAATTAACATTGTTTGCTAATTCTTTTTTTTTCATCTCTTTTAAACACACACTGATTAAAGACACAAAAATTTCTCGTTCGAGCCACATTCTTCTTATTTTCTTGTCCGAGTCACTTTGAAATGCTTGTTTTTCAATAATAATTCCTGGAAGAGCCTGATCCTTGCAGATAAACTATTTTAATAAATAAATTATCGAATTTTTGTAAATCGAAATTGGAAAGACGAGGATTTCGAGGTGGCTTGGGCGAAACATTATTCAAACTTTTTTTTCCTAATATTCAAATTTCCTGTAACCGTAAACCACCGTAAACTTCTGTTCATTTCAAATACCGGGCCGACTGTTGACCAGCTAGAGCAAGCTGTACGGTACAATTAAAGTACCGGGCCGACTGTTGACCAGCTAGAGCAAGCTGTACGGTACAATTAAAGTACCGGGCCGACTGTTGACCAGCTAGAGCAAGCTGTACGGTACAATTAAAGTACCGGGCCGACTGTTGACCAGCTAGAGCAAGCTGTACGGTACAATTAAAGTACCGGGCCGACTATTAACCAGCTAGAGCAAGCTGTACAGTACAATTAAAGACTGTTTAAGGCAGTGAAATTTGGGTGGAAAGGCAGAAGACTTATAATCTAAGAATCGTCATACTATATAAGTTTTAGGTCGTCTTTACAGTCTCATCCATTGTGGGTAACCCTGTTGTATAGTTTTGCAAAGGAAAAAGACCAGAGCTCCGCTGCAAGGAATGAAAGAAAAAAGGACTGAAATAATTCTAAATAATTCTCTGCAGTCTCATTCCTTGTGGGACACCCTGTATTACTATACAGGGTGTCCCATCATGGGAATTCAGTGACGATTTCAACATCATCTTTGTTATGAATTAGCATTGTAATACCTAATTTCAAAAGCCCTTATATTATCATGTCTGCTAGAGTTTATTTTATGTAAACGGTAATGCTGTAAAAATGTGTCTATAATGTCTCCGCAAGATGTACAGTGAATACGGACAAGTTTACTCTGTTTGTATACTGCAATTTTCTTGTTTTACTAAGTACACCTTTATGCAGTCAAAACATAAACAAACAAATTGTAAACATAGCAGACGAAATTCTTACAGATTACAGCTTTCTCAATAGGTATTACTATACTAAATCAAAGAATTATTTGAAAAGACGATGTCGAATTCGTCACTGAATCTCCATGTTTATTGGGAAACTCTGTACGTACCTAGTAATATATCCGTAGCTAAAGATCGTCTTCTGTTTGCCCCTCGTCCACACAATGTATTCTCAACAAGTAGTGAGTTTCGTCTCCCTGCACCCACCCCACCTCCTGGAAATATATATTTCAAATATTACGGTGCATGAGATCCATAAATGTGTGTAAAAGGAAAACGACTTTTACGCAATTTAGAGTTGAACAACAAGTTTTACCAGCAGCTGGACAAATCAACTTATTAAATAATTTAGCTAGAAAATTGCTGTATTTCATTTAAATTATAATTAAGTATAACAGTCGTCTTCCTATTTCACAGTTTTATGGGTACCACTGTATGTGCTTTTCTCAGCATCTAATTTATTCCTGTCTCTGATCAATGTTTTAAAAGTTTTTACAGACAGTTGTAAATTACTTCAGAAGGTAAACAAATTTACTGGATATCAATATATAATTTATCAAGATTTAGTATTTTTTGGGAATATAAGATTAAACAAAACAAAAAAATTCTAATTAACCTGGCACTTTGACTGTAGAGTCTCTAAGCGGTATACCTGACCCTAAAATCATTTATTTGATACAGTGAGATCAAGAAAACTCTGGAATATGAAGAAGAACTGTAGACACAAGATATGACTTTATTTAGTCAAAAGATGCAGAGCTGCATAGCAATTGGGCAGTATAAACAGACCCGAGCTGAAAACTTTAGAATGTGATATCCTTAATCCCGATATATAAATTAATCTGGAGATTAATAACAAGAGGAGAACAAGAATTATTTAATCTTGATATTGAGAAAAAGAGGAGATCAAGCATTAATCTCGATATCCACCATTCTAAAGTTTTCAGCTCCGGGCATTTCACTAAATTAATAATTTTAAAAGTTTGATAATTGTTGTTTTAATGTCGTCTTCCTATTCCACAGTTTTCTGGTTTTCACTGTACATGATATTTTTTAAATTTCTTATTGTAATTTTATCTTTTTACTAGCTTTAAACATAAATTAAAAGTCAACCCACTCAACTTAGAATTTTTAAACTAAGCTAAGAACATGTCCGTGCTTCCTATCCGAGTATAATTTGAGGCAAAGCGGTCAAGGAATTCTTGAACAATAATCGGACAGAGAAACAGACAGACAACCCATATATATAAAGACATATATAAACATGTACAAAATACAGTCCTTCTCATCTGAAAGTACAAGGAGGGTAAACCAGAGCCCGAAATTTAAAAGAGTATCGTTGAACGAAACTCCCGAGTTTCCTTTTTGGGGTCTTGGCAATTGTGTAAATTTTGATTTAAGAAATTTTAAAAAATGAAGAATATGAAGAAACTTAATAAAATAATATTTCACAACAAAAATATTGATATCCACAAAACTGCTTAACCCCATTCTTGAAACCCGGGTTTCAAAACTGGTTTTCATAACGATACCCTGTCTTAAGTTTTGGGCTCAGGAACTCCAATATCTTTGTTTACATAATAAGTGTACTGCAGTTCCTAGCAGGAATTTAAACAAAACTCACGTTCAGTTTAAGTAAATTTTTTAAATCATAAGAGATATTGAGAAGAACAAAAAGGGTTTGAATTCGCCTCTCTCCTACATGTGCTTAAAAGCAAACCAAGAAGAGCTACGAGGTCACATATTCAAACCAGAAATTTAACTTTTTTCCTTTTGTCCATTTATTAAATTATGGTCTGAGCAGCTCTAACATATTTTCTATGGATCTATCTGATAGTTCCTGAGATATCTTTCATGGATCTGTCTGATAGTTCCTATTGTATCTTCCATGGATTTATCTGATAGTTCCTGATATATTTTCTATGGATCTATCTGATAGTTCCTGAGATATCTTTCATGGATCTGTCTGATAGTTCCTATTGTATCTTCCATGGATCTATCTGATAGTTCCTAATATATCTTCTATGGATCTATCTGATAGTTCCTGAGATATCTTTCATGGATCTGTCTGATAGTTCCTATAGTATCTTCCATCGATCTATCTGATAGTTCCTATTGTAAATTCCATGGATCTATCTGATAGTTCCTATTGTATCTTCCATGGATCTATCTGATAGTTCCTGATATATCTTCCATGGATATATCTTATAGTTCCTATTGTATCTTCCATGGATCTAGCTGATAGTTCCTGATATATCTTCCATGGATCTATCTGATAGTTCCTATTTTATCTTCCATGGATCTATCTGATAGTTCCTGATAGATCTTCCATGGATATATCTTATAGTTCCTATTGTATCTTCCATGGATCTATCTGATAGTTCCTGATTATCTTCCATGGATCTATCTGATATGGATTTATCTAATAGTTCCTAATGTATCTTCCATGTATCTGTCTAATAGTTCCTAATGTATCTTCCATGTATCTATCTTATAGTTCCTAATGTATCTTCCATGAATCTAACTGATAGTTCCTGATAAACCATCCATGGATCTATCTGATAGTTACTAATGTATCTTCCATGGATCTATCATGATAGTTCCTGATATATCTTCCATGGATCTAACTGATAGTTCCTGATATATCTTCCATGGATCTAACTGATAGTTCCTTTTATATCTTCCATGGATCTCTCTGATAGCTCCTAATGTACATCTTCCATGGATCTATCTGATAGTTCCTGATATATCTTCCATACATCTAACTGATAGTTCCTGATGTATCTTCCATGGATCTTTCTGATAGTTCCTGATTATCTTCCATGGATCTATTTGATAGTTTCTGATATATCTTCAATGGATCTATCTGATAGTTCCTAATGTATCTTCCATGGATCTATTTGATAGTTCCTGATATATCTTCCATGGATCTATCTGATAGTTCCTGATATATCTTCCATGGATTTAACCACTATCCCCAATTACATATTTAAGAATTATTGTTGTTTTCATCTTTTAAATGAAATTTGATATCTCGCTTAATATCTTCCACTCTGCTTTGATATTGAAGAGTTTATTAAAGGGGTTATCAACATTATTTTCAAGTTAGCCTTCTATCAAACAGGGTCATGAATAGTTTACAAGGTTACAGGGACTGTTAAACCTGGTGATCTTGTCCCGGTATGGGGGGGGGAGACTATCTATCCTTAGGGGGGAGGGGGAGTGGGGGTAATACAAGTTAAAATTATTAGTCTAACTACTGAAAAGTAAAGATACCTTGTAGAAGATTTTAACTCCTCAAAGAGAGCGGGGGGGGAGAGGGCGTAATAGAATATAAAAATATTAGTCTGACTACAAAAAAGTAAATATGCCTAGTGCAAGACTATCCCTCCTCAAAAAGAGGGAGGGGTAATTAAAGCTAAAAATATTAATTCGACTACAAAAAAGTAAGTATACCTAGTAGAAGACTATCTCTCCTCGCCATACCAGAGCTTAAACCTGCCAACTCACTTCTAATCCCGGTCATTAATCTTAATATCTAAAAACTTAAATTATTTGAATGAAATCAATGAGATTTAGATTTGAAATAATTTTTAAAATAAAAAAATTGTAGATTTTGATTAGATTAAGTTTTTGTTGAAATTTTTTTACAGTACTGTAATACACTGTACTGTACTGTAATATACTGCGCTGTACTGTAATATATTGTACTGTACTGTACTGTACTGTACTGTACTGTACTGTACTGTACTGTACTGTACTGTACTGTACTGTACTGTACTGTACTGTACTGTACTGTATTGTACTGTACTGTATTGTAATGTACTGTACTGTACTGTAGTGTACTGTACTGTGCTGTACTGTTTTTGCCTCAATTGCAATGCCTTGGCCTTTGATTTTTAACTCACTAACTCAGATATAATTTTTGAAGCCCTAAACATGTACATTTTATAAATTTAAAGAACTTCTTTTTACTGCTTTAGTTTATAAGAAGTAATTAGCAAAATTCTCATCGATTTTTGCGTCAACGCTTGCAACCTTGATTCACTGAGTACTGCATACCTCTTCCTGTTTCCTCTCGACAACACTTATCCTGGCTGATATACTGCTAGAGACTAGCTCACGGGTCAACTCAGTTTGACCCATCTAGAAAATAACACTCAGATCAAATATATATTAATATATTAGCTATAATAGCTGGCCAAACAGCTGGACCAAATTGACTAAAATTTTTTGAAGGAACCCATCGGTACCCGGGGGGGGGGGGGAAATACAGGCAACAAATAGAATTTATTTTCTTCCAAAATTCGAAAATAAATTTGCAAGTGTTTTTTTATTCCACGGGCAACGCCGGGCACTTCAGCTAGTATTATATAATAGGCATATTAATCTCATTAGAAGGGAAGGATTCATTTGGTGTACCGTCCCGTTTAATCTTCGGCCTGAAGTCAGAACTGTTGTATTATATTTGGTGTACTGTCCCGTTTTATCTTCAGCCTAAAGTCAGAACTGATGTATTATATTTGGTGTACTGTCCCGTTTTATCTTCGGCCTAAAGTCAGAACTGTTGTATTATATTTGGTGTACTGTCCCGTTTTATCTTCGGCCTGAAGTCAGAACTGTTGTATTATATTTGGTGTACTGTCCCGTTTTATCTTTCGGCCTGAAGTCAGAACTGTTGTATTATATTTGGTGTACTGTCCCGTTTTATCTTCGGCCTGAAGTCAGAACTGATGTATTATATTTGGTGTACTGTCCCGTTTTATCTTTGGCCTGAAGTCAGAACTGTTGTATTATATTTGGTGTACTGTCCCGTTTTATCTTCGGCCTAAAGTCAGAACTGATGTATTATATTTGGTGTACTGTCCCGTTTTATCTTCGGCCTGAAGTCAGAACTGTTGTATTATATTTGGTGTACTGTCCCGTTTTATCTTCGGCCTAAAGTCAGAACTGTTGTATTATATTTGGTGTACTGTCCCGTTTTATCTTCGGCCTGAAGTCAGAACTGTTGTATTATAGATCTCGGGATCAAGCATTGATCTCCAGTTTATACAAACCTACGCATTTAATGCGTCCTCGTTATATATGTTATACTGTAACTAAGGGATAAACATGTTAAAGGTGAAAACATTGGATATCAAGATCAAGAGTTCAAGAATAATAATATCCACTTCCACACAATGGTTTCGACCTATAGTACTTCTTTATATGAAACACTCTCCACTACTCCGCAATGTCTTCGGTCAGTTTACTGAAAACCACTGCAGAACACAAAGAAAGATTAATTGAGGGTGGAAATGGTAAAATTTCTACAATGTTTTGGTCAAACTGTTTAGGAAGGGATAAATTAATAATGAATGTCAAAAATACTAATTAGGAATCAACTTAACATAAAAGTTTTCATCAAATTAAGAAAAGATATTTTTCATATATTTTTTCCTAAACTTTAGATAACGAGACAATAATCCAATTTTCTTATTTTTATATCTTCGCAACCAGATGTCGTAGGCCTTTGCTATCTTAAACTAGGAATTCAGTCAGAATAAATAATATAAGTTTAATATAACAAGAATTCAAGAATTCAATTCCTTGGTTCTCAAGTTTAAAAAATGCAAGGAATATTGTTTGGTTTGCAAATAAAGAGTCGTCAACCTATAAGATTGTGCAAAATACAGGTTTCTTAGTTGCTTAGAACTGAAGGAACAGGTTATTAGAACTTGAAAACAATTAGCAGAACTTTGAGAAATATCGGCGGACAACAACGTGACAAGTAAAAATTAAAAACCATTCTAAAAATCAAAATCGTTTTAATTTAACTTTTTAAGTTAAATAGTATATAAAAGAAATCTAATAATTGAAGCAAAAATCATAGCGAGGGTTAAAAATCTCATAAAAAAAGTCTCGAACCCTCTCAAAAAGAAAAGTTTTTGGCTCAAATACTTTATACCTCGCCTCCCTTCAACCAGTATAGGGGTATAAATAGTTACACTAACACTGCAAAACATGATTTAACTGTATCATGGCTACTCGCGCTACAATTACTCCGAAAATGATTTCAAAGATTTTCCGGATTTATCATTTTTCATTAGAAACCCCAATAAAGGGATCCATATTATATTATCTATTTTATCTGACAAGGCAAAAGAAATGAGTTTTTGCAACATAATCTTATTTTCTAATTTTTATATCTTCTCAACCAAATGTCGTAGACCTTAGATATTTCAAACTATGCATTCTGTTAGATCAAATAGTCTAAATTTGAAATATCAAAGGATTACGCTAATAGGTTGAAAAGATTTAGAGGTTTAAAAATTTGAGTTTGTGGAAAAGACTCAATTATTTTATGAATTTATGAGATAAAAGTCTTTAAAAAAGTAAAACGAGTCAATCAATCTATCTATCTATCTATCAATTAATCTATCTATCTATCTATCTATCTATCTATCTATCTATCTATCTATCTATCTATCTATCTATCTATCCATCCATCTATCTATCTATATATCTTTCTATCTATCTGTACCTGTAAAGTAGATATTGACTGCTTTAGATCTTCAACCAGTTTTTCTGATTCAGCAAAACTTTGTTAATTTTATTTTGCAAATTACTTGGTGTCAAATTTAAAGAAAAAGGGACTGTTTTGCAATTTGGATGTGCATGCAAATATCAGGATAATTATGGGACACGACTTATGAAGATCGGCTTTGATCTTCACAAAATAAATTACAACAGTTGAACGAGATTGGAACAAAATGAAAACCTGCACAATATTCTTTTATCTCCAATAATATTAAAAGGGCAGACTACGTTTTGAAATTCCCAGGATATGACTATTTAACGATTATTGTTTCAAGAATCATATTTGGAAAATGAAGTTCATAAAACTATGCCGCGGTATATTTCAAAATGCGACTTTTTTCTTCTTTAAACTGTCATGTTTTGTGAGACGCACTGTATATATATATATATCTGAATTATTTGTATCAAAGATTTTACGAAAGAAATGACTTTCGTAAACTAATTATAAGACGGGATAAAAAAAAATGTCATGATACAGAATTCTTTTTGACATGAAATAATTACAAATTAGATTTATAGAATCATAAATCATAAAATGTTTTTTCCTAGATCTGAAATTTGTTTCGTGTTTTCCATTTTATTCTAAAAGTTAAAACAAAAAAATAATCAAAATAAAAAGTGAAAACATTTGTTTTCTATTTAATCATCATTTATTTCAGGCATATAAGTAGTATAAATCATGAAACAAACAAAACTTCTCAAAAGATCCCATTTGATATTCAGAAATTAGATTTAAACAGAATTCAATTTTGAGAATGACAATAGTAGACAATCTACATGCAAAATATGTCTTTACTAGCCTCCATGCAGGTCGCTTTTAGATTTTTTTGTGCAATTGGAGTTACTTTTCTCAAAGGGGATTAACCTATAAAATAGTTTTAATTCCCAGTGTAAAAAAACCTTTGGTCAGAGCAAATCAGTTTTTCACTTTAAAAAACAAAAAATTTACTCTTGCTTATTTATTTTATTTTTTAAATTAAAAATCATGCAGATTTTCTTATTTTTATTTGGTGAATTTAAAATCTGATTTTTTTTAGTTTAAACCGTTTTTAGGAAATCCTAAATGTGACCCCAATTGAAGTTTATTTGCTGTAAACAAACATAAAGATTCAAATGTAAAAAAAGTAACAAACAAGCAGCAACAAAAATATCCACGTGTAGTTGATTTAAGAATAGATATCAATAATAGTAAAATTACACAATTACAGAATTTAACAAATTAACTTAATAGATTTGATCGATATAATTGAGTCATTACGCGCAGCTATTGATTTAACGATTTTCTTCTCCGTATTAATTAACAACATAACGTACACAAAATAGAAGAGGAAATGGGACAACCCCCCCCCTCACATCTTCTTTAAAATTAGATTATTTATTGTGATTTCAGAAATAAATTGTATATTTTCTTATTTTTGTTCAATGAAAGGAAACCTCTCGAATGGAAAATAGAAAATATTTATTTATGTGATTAATGAGAAAAATAAAGTAAATAAAAGACAAGCTTATTCATACTCTTTCCTTCAACTTTTACTATCGTTTTGATCAAAATAGTTTTGATTATCATTTGATATTGCTCCTCGACTGATTTTAAATACCAAAAAATGATTTTTTTTTAAATTGAAGAAAACTTTTTTTGTGTTCATGGGCATATATCTATAAAACAACATTTATAGGTTTATATATTAATTCCTTCAGTGTATGTATCGGGGGGGGGGGATGTTCTACCCTAGAAATTATATTTTCCCCTGACTTACACCGGGGTGATGCTTTTGTCCCCCCCCCCCCCATCTATATTATTCTTTGCTTGTAAGCGCTGATAAACGTAAAAAACGACTATGATTAGCTCAAAGTTTTTGAGTCAACTCACGTGACCCCAGGACCGGTATTTTAATTTTTTTTTAACTTTGAAAATCCACGAAAAAAAATGTATCAAATCCACGAACCTTTTAATTATTGTTTTATATAGTATTTGGTAGCACTTAATACAACTTGACGTACCGGTTGACTTTACTTACAAGGGTGTCCCAAGAAACATGATAGTTGAGAGATGAAATTTGAAGATCGTCTATGATCTTTGAGATTATTTGCGGCGTCGGTGTCAACCTATTTTTACCATTATGATTCTAAAAACAACAATTACAAAATCCCGTAGTAGTAATAGCAATTACAAATTGTTCTATGCCTTTTTTGCTTTTAGAATTAACGGAGCAATTAGGAATTTGGTCCAATTTTAATTTATTAAACAAAACCAAAGTTGTCTAAATCTGAACAAAATTCTTCACATCTTCTGTGATTTTAAAAGTGCCAGAAAAGCAGACCACATTTTGGAAATGCCTTGACAACTTATTTTCAGTAGACTGTTGAAAGAATGCCGCAAATTATTTCAAAGATCAAAGACGATCTGTAAGTCATCTCTCAAATGTCATGTTTGGTGGGGCACCCTGTATACTAGAATAGATTGTTTATCTAGGAACTTGATTCACTTACGCGACGGTGCTTAGACAACTGAAGCAGATCATACGCTAAACAATTCAGTTCTGTAGGGTTGGACCAATTCTGCTTATATCCGTCGAAAAAAAAGTTTAAAAGATGAATTTATATAAGACATTTCGTAAAACATGAACCCAGTTTGAAAATATTCACATACTTTTTTTAAGCGTTAAACATTTTCTCTTTTATCGACCTTTATTTTTCATTGTTTTAAAACGTTAAATTTAATTTTAATTTTCAATATCAAATCTTTCTTAGAAACAGGTTTTTTTTGATGGTGAATCATAACATTATAGGACTTTTCTTTTTACTGAGAAATAGGAAAAATTAAACTGTTGTTAACAACTGCGATGTCATTCTGAGAACAATTACAATTCTGTGTAATTAAACATTTCATTTTTTTCTTTAGATATTTATTATTTCTTTTTATTTTCATGTTTGCAAAAAAGTGAAAATTGCTTCTTTTTTAACATCTACACTGTTAGAAAAACCCGCTTACAATCAACAGTATTTAGTTCACGCACCAAGCCATGAAGATCCGTTGTAATATATCAACGATAATTCTGCTTGATATAAATTTACGGCCTGTACGCTAAATTCTAATTACATTCACTTGAATTCTACTTACTTCAATCATCAGAAATCGAAGCAAGCATAATCCTGCTTACTTTAATTACAGTGATCCGGCGTTCAGACACGTACCGGCACTCAATTCAATCAGAATACTACTTGGATTCTGCATTAACCAGAATTCTGCTTACTTCAATTAAAATTTGACTCTCTTCAAGTAAATTCTAAGAAAGATCAATAATGTATGTACTTAAAGTATCTTGAATAATACTGACATTGCTTTCTCTCAATTCTCATTTAAAAATTTGATATGATTCTAATTTTACTTATATCAACTAGTGTTTAGGCTAATTCAAGTAAAATCATTCTGACCAGAAAACATCAAATTTCAAACGATATATCAATGAATGTCTTCTATATACTGGTTATATTGGCCTGAAATATGATGATATTGAAAATTTACAAAATGGCATTTCTAACAGTGTAGCGGAAACCTGAAAAGGTTTGTGAAGGAACTAAAAAACTTCGCAGCTTTATGCAGGAGACATTTGATTTTTAAATTAAAAATTCTGTTAGATAAAATAGTATATGCTTGAAATATCAAAGGTTGCAGTATTTATATGCTTGAAATATCAAAGGTTGCAATATATGCTTGAAATATCAAAGGTTGCAGTATTTATATGCTTGAAATACCAAAGGTTGCAGTATATGCTTGAAATATCAAAGGTTTCAAAGATTGAACAAATGTACATTTTGTGGCGAGTGTGTTCATTTCTTTTTACAAAAAAACTTTAAACTTCATGTTCAAACTGCATAAGTCAACAATATCATTCTGTTTAATGAATATTTTACAATTAACATAAAAACAAGATTTGTATTTTGTAGATAAATCCAGAGGCGTATTCAGGGTGGGGGGAGCTTTAGGGGTCAGCCCTCCCCCCTCTTATCGTGGGGTGCTGGCCCCCTTCTAGACAGAATTTTTGCATGGATAAAGTCCTGATTACGCTCCAACATCTGAAACTAACCTTGAATTTAAGATAAAACATCTTTATAGTCATATCCGACAAAACCGACAGCAATTAAATTAAACGTAATTATGAGTATGACTAGCTGAAGGGCCCACGTTCGGCGTTGCCCGTGGGAAAAATTGAAATTTATTATAAATTTTTATCCTATAACACCCACCTGGCCCCCTGAGTGTCCACAAAAAATTTCAGCCCAATCGGTCCAGTCGTTTGTCCGGCTATACTCAACATATATATACGAATGTCTTGTTTTATTATATAGATTTAAAACAATAAATATTAAATGATAAAATCATATTTTGAAAAATTTTAAATATTAGAATGTAAAAAATTTTAATGTTGCAGTTTTAATGAAAAAAATTGTCAAAATTTGTTTTATTTGCAATAACTAAACAATTTAACAAAATATTGAAACTAACATTAAAATATGAATCACTTTATTTTCAAAATTTCTGAATTCCAAAAATTTCCAGTTGACGAAAAAAGATGTTCCGGAATAGACCAGGAGATCCGAAATTCCGGATCCTTATTTATAATAGAAATGTTTTAAAAATCCGGATAATTTTTTCACCTAAAACTTGAATCTTGAATTTGGGGTTTTCATTTGTGATGTGCGCAAAAAAACGCAAAACTTTATCTGTAACTGTAATGAACTGTAACTGCCGCAAAACACATTTGGTTTGGCGGTGATTACTGTTGAGGACTNCCCCCCCCTCCTGTAACTTATCTGTACAAATTCTAAATTCATCTTATTGCATGTGGCACAACAACAAAAGATCGGTTTGGTGGGACAACAGATTTGTTTCCAGTGTCTGTTGTATCCGACATCAGAAGAATAATACAAATATTGCGCATTAATGGGCTAAAACTTACCGCATATCATGTAAAGCATTTTCCCCCAAAGGCCAGTTTTTTATAATTAACTTTTTATTGTAATTCATTACAATTTTGAATAAAAATTAGTCAAACCCTATTTGAAATTTGGTGGAACTTCAAGTAATATATTAACACCCCCTTTTATTAACACTCCATTTTATTAATTTTGATTACACTATCTTGAATCTTGATTAGGATTAATAATAAAGCTCTTGGAGTAAACAGGTTTCAGTTTTCGTCTCTATTGTCTCTATTGTCAAATGTCAAATTTTTTAAACAGTTGGAAAAATATTATTGAGAATTCAAACGTTTTTTAAAGTTTGTATGCTGAGCCTTTCTACCTTTAGTTTAAAAGAAGTTATTGGCAAAATGAGAGCTTGCAACCTTAGGCTCACAGAGACTCCATTAAAATATAGTTAATAAAGGAATATTTCTTTATGTCGGTAAAACTTTTAAATATTAAACTTCAAGTGTTTTAAACTTTAATAATAGTCTTTTTTAATTCGAAGGTTGGCCGTTGGCAATGTTAGAGGGACTGTAATTTCGAGTAAACCTTCGGTTCACAACAGTATCTTTAAATGCTTGTTTGCTTATAGATGACGGAAGTATTCTTATTTTTCTAGCGGAAATTGAGAACTGGGAATCACGATTGTACACTGTACAGTACGTCACATACAGTTCCCAAAGAATCTTAATTTTCGACGAATGAAGATTTATCTTCCTTGTCCTTGATCAGACATAGATTTAAAGACCAGTAGGCAGTAGTGTTGTGAATCTGACATATAACTCTACAGATGTGTGGGTATGAAGGTTAAATTACGTCGACAGTACCTTTAAGCTAACATATTCAATGTTATATATTTGTTGTAGTTAAACTTTATTGCACAACTTGCAAAATTACAAAAACTAAATTCTGCACTAGGTCTAGATGAACTAGATTGCTTATTGCGCCAGTCTTGAATTTTAAATTCAAGGAAATATTTTTGCAAAATGATAAAAACATTAAAATTCAATACTTTCAATTCAATAATTTAAGAGGCTGTAGCTAAACGTAATTTCAAACTATTTATTTTTAGGATGACATGCCCGATTTACAAAGGTACTCTTTAAATATTTGCCTGCACAAAAATGTGGAAGATATTGTCTTTTTTCTAGATATTTATAAGTGTATATTTGATATTAGGTACTTTCCCAAAGGATTTTTTCCAAGTGGCACCTTCCCAAATGTGCAATTTCCCAAGTTTGTCCTAGCCGCAGCGCTCGGTCTGTTCTAACCGCGGCGCTCAGCTCCCTAACCCAGACAATCAGACAAAGATATAAGGGTACCGTTGTGAATCTGGCATTTACACATTTGCATGGAGAGGCACTTGAAAAGTTGAAATAATGCTTCCCTGAATTAGCCCGTTAGAAAAATTAAAAAACATCTCTATTTTTTGAAGAAATAAATCTCATCATAAGACGACATTTCAAAAGCTTGCAATCAATAATTCAGGAAAAACACCTAGAAAATCCATCGCAAACGACAATGTAAACAGGGGTCAGATTCAATAATTAGATGAAGTAATTGCACTTCATTTAAATTGAATCACCTTATAATTCTGTTTAGCTTAGTTCCGCGAATAAAAGAAGTAGTTGAACCGGAGGGAATAGTTTAACCACTTATCGTGATTCATTAAATCCATGTTTCCAGATCCCCCAGGACAGTTCTTATACAATCGTCTCTGCAGGGAGATTTTAGAGTTAAATGACTTTGACTTACACAAATCACGACAGCTTTCTTCTTACGATTTTTTTATTTTTCTGACATTTCCCTCGCTACTTGCTAAAGTTGATAGCCAGAGCCCTTTTCAATTTACACGTTAAGATTTAAAAATGTTAAACAATACAGTCACTACCCCTGGCCATAAATATAATAGTTTTTTTGAGTAATAACACTTTGGAATCCGAAATTTAATTAATTTTAAATTCATAATCATATGTGATAGGGGTTGGACAAAATTTAACTGGATTAAGGCCTTATTTACTATCTAAAATAACTTAGAAATAGTGTCTAAAAACATGGGACGTTTGATCAGTGCAACACACATTAATTAAATTCTACGAATTCTTAAGTCCTATAATTTCTAAAAAGTTGCTTGCTCTTTTTTCCTTTAAAAACTGAGGAGATATTAGAAAATTTCTCTGTCCAGACTGCAATTCATTTAAAAAAAGATGTATCTATAATAACTTTCGTGATTTTAAAATGCCTAATCCCAATTTTTGAAAGCTCACACGATGAACTTTATTTTTGAAAAAAAAAATGTCGAAGTCCATAGAATCTTCATACCCCCGTTTATTGGGACACCCTATAGTACAATGCATATCAACCAGCTTAACAACTAAAAATATATATCCAAAATTAAGAATAAAAATGGCTGAGCCCCATTTTGTAAAGCTTACAAAAGCTACAAAGTCAGTATGATCTCTTAATTCTCCTGTTTATTACTGGACAGTGGACACCTAATAATTATAAATATGAAAGATTTCACCAACATCAAGGTATCTGCCTGTCCCTTCACCAACATCAAGGTATCTGCCTGTCCCTTCACAATTTATATTTCATAAAAGATTAATACAAACAAGGTTATAATGCAAGGAAAATTAATTGCAGTTGCGTAAACTCTGCGTATATATTAAAACCAGTTCTCTGGGGCGGAATTTGTAGACAAGAATAGGTGAATCAGTGTTCGTTTAGTATCCGAGGAGATTAAAAGAATTTAAATTTTAAAGAAGAGGGATCCAATGTCAGGCTTCGACACCCAGTCTTGGGTTTACATTACCGCCCAGAGACAGTACACTGCAGTACTAAAGATACGTATACATCTAAAATAACTTTCCTTGCATAATAACCTTTAATACCCCTAACCTACACAGCGTTACCCACAAAAAATGAGACAAAGACGACATTTTTAGAATATAATGATGCCAATGTTAAATTCTTCTGTTTTAAGTTTAATCCTTTATTGGCTTATTTAATAATTTTACAGTTCACAATTGCAGGTAATCAGGAATTTAATGAAACTACTTTACTAATTCCCTACAGTCGTCTCTTGGAGTCTCATCCTTTGTCGGTAACCCTCACACCTAACAACTCACAAGTTGAAATAAAAAAAAAACAAATATTGAAGAAATTTCAAGGTTTATTCTAAGGTTTTGTATTATTAAATCCATTAATAGTATTGTTTTTGAGTCTGCACAATGGTTCAGAAAGTTTCAGCTGGTTTATCTCTCTTTAAGGTGTAGGGTGGGTACCGGTTGTCCAAAAAATGGCACGATCACTCCACAGGGTGTCGGGGAAAAAAACTTAAAATTTGCTGAGATCGGAAGAAAACCTATTGATAAAGAATAATTTAAACAAATAAAGACACCTTGTGTTCATAACTTCTACAGCGCGCATATATATACAAAGATACAGATTACAGATACAGAACGTATGAATGTTGATTAATGATGAACCGTCCCATTATAGGATGGAGGCGGGGGTTTAGGGCCTCCCGTCTGTTACAGGTGGAGGTTGACGCCCCTCCGCTTATTAAACCCTGGGGTTAATGCCCCTCCGTCTGTTAAAGGCGGGGGTGAGGCCAACCGTCTGTAAAGCATGATGATGATGTTATTTTACTTCCTCTTGATGTTAGCGGCGTTATTCTGACCAGGTCCCCGGGGGGTCTGGGGTCTGTTTAGACCTTGATACTGATACTTAGCTTTCTTCTCACTCGGCTTCAAGATCTAAACAAGACAAAAATATACAAACGTTGTAATGTTTTCTCCGGAAAATCAAAAACACTAGAAAAATTACAGAAATCTTGAGCTACAATGTGTGAAAACTCTAGAAAAATTACGGAAATCTTGAGCCACAATGTTTGAAAATTTAAGGAAATACTCGGCTAAAACATATTTCAACAACTGGGGGAAAACTTGGAAAAACATTTTGAAGAATCAGTGAAATACTCTGGAAAACATAAACTACAATTGAGGGGAAATTAGATCTGAGCTGAAAACTTTAGAATGGATAAACTTTAATCCTGACTTCTTGATCCGAATATCCACTGTGGAAACTTTTCATTTTTGTCCTTAATCCACTCTTTTTCTCTCTCCTTGGATATACGTTAATTGTTTTCTCCAATGAGAATATTTCTTTTCTCTCATTGGTTGCCCGCTTTTCTCTGATTGGCTGCTACAGTTTCTCAGATGATTAAATATTAATTTGAATTTTATCGTTTTTCATACACTTTTAAGATAATCTTGCAAGATTATGTTAATCTGGAGATTAAGAAAAAGAGTTGATTAAGCCTTAATCTCGATATCCACCATTCAAAAGTTCCCAGATCTGGTAAACTAATTGAAGGTTAAGAAAATATCAGATTTAACATTTTCTGGAGTAAAGTGTCAACAAAATGGAAAAGATTGTTTAAAATATGTAAATTAACCAGAGCTACTTTCAAGATATACCCTTATCATTTTCAATGGTCCTGGGGAAAAATAAAAACATTAAAAATCAACCGGCATTTTTTCCACGCTTTTAAAAACTTTTTACACAAATATTCAAATATAACAGATGTCTGAAAAATGCTTTTCAAGAGGAATGAGGGGGGGGGGTCATTTTCAAGAAAATATTCACCCCTATAATTACCTGGAAAGAACACATGAGTGTTTCGTCAACACTCATCATACCCCCGGCGTTGTCGAACTCCCCGCAGTAGTTGGGGGCAGAGAACAGGGTCACCAGCTGACGTTTCGCAAAGAACTCGTAGCCGTCCTCAACAACCTAAAGATGGGTCAAATATAAATAATAATAATAGATATCTTAGCTTTATGTTGCTGATTTATCTGTCAGTCGTTCGTAAACTTTAAAATAATAATAATAGTTCCCTTCGCGAATCGTGTTCATTGGCGGTTGAACAAAAAATAATAAAATGAAAATTCTTTTTAAGCAAATTTTCATATTTTTGCTGGTCATAAACCTTCGGTGGCCTCAATAGGTTCAGCCATTTAGCGGCTATGACATACAAACAAGCAAAATTAAAGACAATTATTTCGAATATTAACATAACTTTTCAGTTCGAATCAGCTCTTGAGGGAAAAGGGTGAGTGGGAGGAGAGAAAGGGGTTGGGAAGGATAGGGGGGCGGGGGCGGGTTGAACTTGCACTTGAACGTGACTGAACTTGGGAACTTGAATTCTAAGTTAACTTGATTCAGAGTTATATTCGTGATTCATTCGTGATTCTAACTTCACATTTCCAATTGCAGAGGTCATGCTGTTTGGTAAGATCAAGATCATGTCTGTTAAAGAACTAAGGGAGGGGGGTTTCTAACTGTACCTGATGGGTTCTACAGATAAGATCAAGATCATGTCTGTTTAAGACCAAGGGGTGGGGGGTTTCTAACCAGCGTTTCGGATCCGGATCCGGTCGGATCCGTATCATTTGGTCGGATCNTTAAGACCAAGGGGGAGGGGAAAGGGGTACTAACTGTACCTGATGAGCTCTACAGATAAGATCAAGATCATGTCTGTTTAAGAACTTGCTCACTACATCAGCTCCGAAGGTGAAACTAACTCCACGATCATTTTCCCCCCAACCCTGAGATAGACAAAATTAATTTAAACATGTTTTCTTCCTCTTCACTTTTAATATTTAAAATATACGTTAGGTTTCAAGAGAAACATTAAAAAAATCATTCATTTTAATTACAAAGCTTTAGCAAAATTTAGGCACTACTTTTTTAATTATTATAAATAGTGTAGACTGTAGGCAAAATCACCAAGAATTGTACAGTCCGCGAACTCATACTTCTAGGGGTCAAAGTGTATTTCAATGATAAGCGGGGTGGTTTGGCGTTTTAATGGATTTCATAATAAAATAACTCCGGGAATGGAACTATTTGAACATCAATATTTCACTGAGCAATATATCATATTGACGAGAACTGAAGGAGGACATGAGAAGGACTAAACTAACTTAAATTTCTCACTACAGAACTCATGTACATCACAAGTACTCAATGACATAAGAACAGCCAATGTTCACAACCGACCTAGTTAATCTATATAATAGGAATATCTTTAAAACATCTCGGTACATTTATATCTTTCAAGATGAAAAATATTGTCTTATGCGCAATCTATCTTTATCTATGACTGTAACACAGTATACACTGTACCGTTCTAAACATTCCTTTGAAACTGTACACTGTAACACAGTATACACTGCACTGTTCTAAACATTCCTTTGAAACTGTACACTGTAACACAGTATACACTGCACTGTTCTAAACATTCCTTTGAAACTGTACACTGTAACACAATATACACTATACCGTTCTAAACATTCCTTTGAAACTGTACACTGTAACACAGTATACACTGCACTGTTCTAAACATTCCTTTGAAACTGTACACTTTAACACAGTATACACTGTACCGTTCTAAACATTCCTTTGAAACTGTACACTTTAACACAGTATACACTGTACCGTTCTAAACATTCCTTTGAAACTGTACACTTTAACACAGTATACACTGTACCGTTCTAAACATTCCTTTGAAACTGAACACTGTAACACAATATACACTATACCGTTCTAAACATTCCTTTGAAACTGTACAATGTAACACCCTTTAAACTATGCGCTGTACTGTTGCCATCTCTGAACTGTACACTGTACAATAAAAAACACCGCTCTAATATGTACACTGTACAATAATAAACACCCCTATAAACTGTACAGTGTATAATCTGTACCTGAACATCCTTGTCTGGATCAGACCACAACAAATCACATAATAGTCCTGAATAAAGTAACGTTAATCAAAACTAATTTTCTACGGGAAATTAATTTCATTTAATTAGGAAATCAACCTTTTTAATTTTACAAAATCAAACGGCCAATCTTGCAGTATAGATTCTAAGTAAAATTTCAGCTTTTATTTTGACGCAAAACTTTTTTATTTTGACAGGCTATAACCCATCCCTAGGGGATGAGGTCATGCGAGTTGGCACAAGAATTTGGGACTGATTGGTCCAGCAGTTTTTAGGACAGAAAAAAATTTCTCATGATTTTTCCAAAATTCCAGGACAGGAAATCTATTAAACGACAGCATTGGAAATTTAGAGAACAGGAAATTGCTAGTGAGAGGAGGATGACAGGAAATGCAGAAAATGAAGAGGAACAGGAAATCCAGTCCACAGGGTGGCAATACAAATTCTATTGTTGGGGGAGGGGGGATATCCCCCCCCCCCTTTAAAGTACCTGTATCAGGAACATCTGTTGGTCTCATGATTCTCCTGATCTGTTCCATACTCTGGAGATCAGGGCTTAGCCCTCCATGACAACAGAATATCTTCTCATCAACTAAAATCATAATTTATCATTGAACATTTATAAAAAAACTTAAATAAACATTAATCTTTTAAATGTGAGGATTTTTAAGGAAAAAAATATTAAAAAATATCAGTAATTCCGCCAACGTTAATGAATACAAACAAACTTTGTAATGGATGAAAGCAATCCTAAGGAAAACATGCATGAAATTATATAGTTAATTTGTCAAAAAACCAATTAATATAAAAAATGGACTTCATTAATTGACATTAACTTGTTAAGTTACCCAAAATTCATCTAATTTTCACATTTCAGAGATGAAATCTTCTTAAAAATCTTCCTATTGATATAAAAAAATCACTCGTTATTTTTGAAGATGGAATAGGGGTTATACGATTGGAAGGGGTATATATATTGAAGAATGGAAAATGATCTAAAGTTGTTCTTACTTTTTAACACTTTCTATCAAAAATGTTATTTATTTTCTTCCCCAAATTTTTTTTATTTCGTCAAATGCAGAGAATAAAATGTAGAACATTTGTTCAGCGCAAACATGATTTTTGAGGGGTTGGAAAATGAGTAAAGAAAATATATTTACAATGATGCCCCCCCACATACATACTTCTGGAAATATAACAAGAGGTTACATAATACTGGAGGATTAACATTTTTATTCTCACAGGGGTTATTCACCTCGATACATATTGAATACAGATAAACAGATAAATAGATAAATAGATAAATAGATAAATAGATAAATAGATAAATAGATAAATAGATAAATAGATAAATAGATAAATAGATAAATAGATAAATAGATGAATAGATAAATAGATTCATCACTGGATAAATAGATACGATACAACATAGATAAATAGATGAGATACATCGATAGATGGATGAAACATTAGATTCATAGATAACTAGATTTTTTATAGATTGATAAATATATGAAATACATATTAGTACATAGGTATTAGATAAAGAAGTATAGGTGTCTACACATAGAAAAAAGATAGATACACAGAGGATATGAATCTGCTAAAGCATATTTAACAAAAAAATGAAATCTCAAGCTTTATCAGATAAAAATACCTCACTGTATTCATTATTGTTGAGGAGACTGTAAATTTAAAGTGACCTACCATTAAAAGCTTTTTCTGATCAAGTATGAATTAAATATCAATGTTTATAATTTTGAAACCACCAGATTTTTCAATTGTGGGTTCTTTACAAAAGTTACTTACGCATTTCTACGGCAGGAAAACATAAGATGAATTATCAGAATTAAATACTTTAATACGAAAAGGGTACCACTGTGAATCTGACATGAAGGGTCACATGAAATTGCGCGTCCAGTTTATTCAAATCAACTTGCGGATTAAAAATCAACGAAATAATTTTAAAAAATATTGTATCGTATTTTAGAATATATTTACAAGCTGGATGTATCTGGATTCTAAGCACTGCATGGAAGTATTTTTACCTTAGAAACATATTGGATATTGATAGATAGATAGCTGGATATAGATTATATTTACAAATATATATATATGAAAGAAATACTGCATACTAATGATAGAAAGGCCAACAACAGACCAACAAGATCATTTATCAAGACCCGCCCGCCCCCCCCCCAAAAAAAAAATAATAATTAGGCGTGTGTGCGCGAGGGGTTAAGATGCAAATTATTAAAATCGACTACTTAAAAACTCATCAATTTAGAAAAGAATAAGGGAAAGTAAATGTACAGGTTTACTAACAAAGGATGAAACATCAGCGATGGCTGTACGGAATTAAATCGATCTTTTTCCTTACAATCTAGCCTTACTCAAACCCTTAACTTGTTTTTTTAGTTTTTTATATCCCATCCAGATAATCAAATAGTTTAGCCAACATTCCTTGGATATAATAATAATTGAATAATAATCTATGCAGATAATGGAGCATCACCCACCCCCCCCCTCACATTTCTATTCATATATTTTCAGGGATGTATTAAAAAAGCATCCCCCCCTTTTCAAGGGGGGGGGGGAAGTGCAGTGGTGAACATAAATAATTTTTTGATGAAAATTATATAAATCAAGATTAATGCTTTAACTCCTGGTTTTGCTAAACCCAAGATTATTTTAGAACGCAAGAAAGAGGTTAAAAATTTAACCAACTAGCGTGTGTCAAGTTTAAGATGTACTTTTGAAAAATCGATTTTGATTTCTGGCGTTGTGGTGTCATATCAATTGAACTAAACATCGATTGAACGAAATTAAGTTTTGGATTAATGTTCAAAATTAACGTTCAAAATGACAATAGTCCCAAAATATGATTTTTAATAATTTCATATTAACATGATTAAACTTATATTTGTTTAAATGCTCTAAAAGCCGGCTTGTGAACAACTGACTTTAATTCAATCGGATATTAGTCCCATCGATATAGCATTGTACCTGTAATTGTTATCAAACGTAACTTTTATACAGTAGAAATATACAAAAAAGAGGATTAAGAAGAAAATCAAAAGTGTGTACATTGGATAATCAGATTAAGCGATCAGGATTAAGGATAGATCTTATTCTAAAGTTTTTAGCTCAGATCTTTAAAAATCATTGCCGGTGGGGGTAATGAACTGACCCCCCCCCCTTAAAAAAAAAATCCAGGGATGCGGATTTCCCCTTTTCCTCCTTAAAATTATGTTAATTTACCTATGGCCGCGATGGGTAAGCAATTAAAGCAGTCCGTAAAGGTTTTCCATAGTTTGATATTGTATCTTCGTTTACCTAAATATAATATTATTAGCATTAGATCAACCTCAAGTATGAACTTTACTGTTCGGAATCTTGGGATCAAGTATTGATCGCATTCTCCATCTTATCCTTTTCGATATCCCGTCATGATCTCACGGGATATCTTTAGTTGATCCTCTAATTCAGAGTGTCCACATTGGATATCATAATCAATCGTAAAGGTTAACAATATCTATACAAAGTTCCGATATCTGGGCTTCCAGATTCAGTATTTACGGGGAAAAACATATTAATAAAACATTATTAATGAGATTAAAGATGTTAAAAAAAATGTAAACCCTTTTCTTTTCGTCAACACTTTAATACTCCCCCACATGATTAAAGAATAGGGTATTAATAAGATAAGTGAGAAGGGTTTTAAAAATTATGTAATTTATATCAGCGCTGTAAGATTTTACAACGCTTGACGTCAATAAGTTAATGATAAAAAATAAACAATTTGTTCATGGTTACAAAAATAAATACAGAAACTGTAAAACAAAATGTTTGATAATTTTTCCTTTTCAGTCTTCACACTTTGCACACACTTATCAATAAATTTCGAGAATATATTTTTTTATTTTTGTAAGTTGGAAACGAAATCAATAATATACTTTAAGGAATTCGAATTTATTTTTTATTTTTAAACCTTAAAAGGAAAATTTAAATCAAAGTTTATTATCACTAATTTAGATTTCGTTCATAAAATTTCATCTCTAAAATGCTATTAAAAATTACGCAAAAAAATACTTCCGAAAGAAAATATTTAACGCGCAAGAAAACATACAAAAAACCCGGACAGACCGAAAAACAGGAAAAGTATGTCGTGCATCTAGATTTAATCTTGGGTGCCTAAGCCTGTGATGTAATGTTTTGATACGAAATTATTCTGAATCATGCTGGGCTTCAGAAATTGATAAAAATAAATTTGTATTCCAAGATCTGAGGATCAAAGGTGGATCGATTAAGAAGTGGGGATAAAAATAAATATGATTTAAACTTTTACTAAAGTTTGATCCTTCGGCAATGTAAAGTTTATGACGTAAATTGTAAATAATTTCGTCACAAGGGAAATAACAAATTTGTTATTCCTACTCCTTACTGACCACAACATTTTTCTTGTGAGTTACAAAGTGTAAGTTTAAGGTTGAGGACCGGTGGGATATTTTAAAATTTATTTTGAATAGGTTTAAATATAACATTTGACGTCTCATTTGAAATGTCAATCGGGACAACAAAGTGGTCCCACTTTTTTTGTCCCCGGATCTACTCACATTCGTCGTAGAATCCGTAAATTCTGTTGATAGAGGCGCACTCGTGGTTCCCTCGCAGCAAGAAGAAGTTCTCAGGGTACTTGATCTTGTAGGCCAATAGTAGGCATATAGTCTCTAGACTCTGCTTTCCTACAATATTCAATTTATAAAGGGACTATACACTTAATCTTGTGAATAACAGTAGGCAAATATTCTCTAGACTCTGCTTTCCTACTATATTCAATATATAAAGGGAATATACACTTAATCTTGTGAATAACATTAGGCATATAGTCTCTAGACTCTGCTTTCACTACAATATTTAATNCCGGATCCAGATGCGGATCCAGGTCATTTATCCCATCCCATCCCATCCCATCCCATCGTCCTTAATATACCTCTGTCTACGTAGTCTCCTAGGAACAAATAGTTTGCCTCGGGTGGGAAACCTTAAAAAAATTACTAAAATAATACATAAATACAAAATTTAAAATCTAAATTCAATAAAAATACAAAAACAAAAACCTCAAGGGTCTTATTCAATAACAAAAATAGGAAGAATTCGGGTTAGAATAAAACTGACTGAGAAAGTAATAAATTTTTATTTTTTAAGAGAAATGTAACGTTCTGAAGTCATCACCAGGTTTGATATTTTTTTTTGCAAAAATTTCAAGCAAATTAAATAAGTTATTATTTATCCATGAAAGATAACAAAAACATACAAAATTAAGTGTTTAAGGAGAAAATAATTAAACACCTCCAAAAATAGAGGATGTGGGAATATTCCCCCAAATTCTAAAAAAAAATATAAAAAATAGAAATAAAAGTAAAGGAAAAGGAAAGTTACATATTTATTGCTTTCATCATATTTAAAAAACTAGTGGTGGATTGTTAGTATTTTTCGACAATGAACAAACAACTTTTAGAAATAAAAATGATAGATTCATTTGAAATGTTTAAAAAAAAAATAGGCTTTATGGGGTTTGAAAAAGGTATAGGTTTTACTCAAAACGGGCATTTTTAAGCATCTTTATAATTCACCCCGATTTTTGACATCCATTATGTTTGATTTTATCTTTTACTCTTTTTAGTCTTCTCTGTGTAAATTCGTCTTTGCTTTCTTCGATTCTTTTGCAAACATAGCATGTGTTAGAATAAATACATTTGTTCTGTTGATAAAAATCTCCAATTAAATTATGTTTAAAATTCAAAATAAGATTGATATTAGAAAGTTTAGAAAAGTGTCGTTTATTTGCATATTGTAGGGAAATTGTGAGAAAGAAGCATTCCAATTTTAATAGATTTTATTCTAGAAATATAATGATCATTTCTGTTTCTAAGATTTGCGTTTTTGATATTTTTTTGATAACCTGAAATCTTTTTATAAACGTTGGGGGTAATAGGTCTCCTATAAATTGAGATAAAAATGTTAAAACATTAAAAATTAAAAGAATCTTTAATCCCAAAACGATGACGTCACTGGATTAAAAATAATCAGTTTTTACCTCCGTATTCGAAAAGTCTGAGTAAATCTGTATACTGCCCATGAATATCACCTAAATAAATTTTACTATAGAAATCCACGAGTAAACTTCTAGAAAATAAGCGACTAAAGGCTGGACAATTTTAGAAATAAATAAGAAATTTCTATATCACCGCTTTCCTGTGAATCATAATCAAGCTTTTAATTCATAGAGTAATAAAACGAAGAGGTGAAGCTTAGCTCAGATGTACACAACCAACCTCCCTATTAATTAATTAATTAATTAATAGAGCGGTCAGTTGTATACATCACGATATGTTTACGTATCTAAAGCTGTACACTTGTTTATAAAGTGATCGTATTTCTAATGGGGATTTTATGGAATTGACCAATTTTTAGATTTTCTTTATTTAAATTCATATTAAGTGTCGATCTAAATATCAATACTAATATTCAAATATCTACATAAAACCACCCCTTAGAAATACGATCAAACAACCGACCGACCACTCTATTAATTAATTAATAGGGACGTTGGTTGTGTACACCTGAGCTAAGCTTCACCTCTTCGTTTTATTACTCTATGTTTCAATTAATGTCTGTTTAGTATACTTATTTCTTGCTTGCTACACCTCCCTATTAATTAGTGTCAAGTTGAAAACCACACCATCATTTATACTTCATAGGCCAATTACACATTGTTTAATCATAATTTAATCTGATCTAAACGTAATAAATATTTCATCCATTCAATTCATGTTAGCCCACTGAAAAAGGAATAGGATACAGAACAAAATAGTTCTCTCTCTCTTAAACCAGTAAATACAGGATGTCTCCAAAAATATTGGAATTCCCAGAGTTAAATTTTCAAGATCTAAAAGCTTTGTTTTCAGAAAAAAAGAGTTTTTTTTAATATATGAAAAGTAAATGTAAAAGCAACGGATGTTAGTAAATCCATTTATTGGTCAAGCTTTAAAATAATGGGAACATAATCCATTTCATGAATTTTTTGTCGAATTCGGGAAAAGCGAACAATAATTAGAATTGAAAAAGAACACACTTTTTATAGGCAGTTTATGAAATAAAGATTATACTGTATTCTTAAAATAACTTTTCAATTAAATGAAAGCTGTTGCAGTGTTTTATTATTTCAAAAATCCTAATCAGCTAAATATTTAAAGTCTAAATATCCTTATCTAGGAATGTAACAGAATTATTAATTTTTATTGAATTATTTATAAAACAATTAATATCAAATTAAGATTGTAAGATTTATGATGGTAAACAAGGAATTCAAAAATTGCATATTTCGAGGTTATAGAAATTAAAAAAGAAATGTACTAGAACTCTGGATAATTCGGAGTTTGTTATTAACTCTTCAATAATGGATAACACGTATTATTCTTGAAGAAATATTATTATTTTTAACTCATCTCAACATTGTGTGTTATTGACAAGCTGAAGGTTGAAAGAAACTTTATTTGTTATTTGAACACAATCTACAATATGGATTCTTAAAAATATATGCAGAACGAACTATTTCTCATAAGTTCTTCGTAATTGTGATGACAAATCTTTTGAAATCAAGATGGTAATGTCAACTCTTTCTTTTCGGTCATTTGAAATTTTAAAAAATCAACACTAAAAAACAAGGTTCTTTATACTGAAAAAAGATTCTTTATCCTGAATCAAGATCCTTAATCCAGAATCAAGATGTTTAATTCAGTCAAGATTTCTAATCAAGAATCAAGATGTTAATTTCAGAGTCAAGATTTTTAATCAAGAATCAAGAATCAAGATTCTTACTTCAGAATCAAGATTTTAATCATAGGATCAAGTTGCTTAATCCAGAGTCAAGATTTTTAATTCAATATTTTTAATCCAGAATCACGATTCTTAATCAAGATTTTTATTCCAGAATCAAGATTTTTAATCCAGAATCAAGATTTTTAATCCTGAATCAAGATTTTTAATCCTGAATGAAAATTTTTAATCCTGAATCAAGATTCTTAAACCAGAATCAAGAGTCAAGATTTTTAATCCAGAATCCTGTGGTATGTTCAGTTCACTACGGCAATCGTGAAATCTGATAAAGAAGGAATAATTTTGAAAACTAAATATGTTCAACTGTGGTTTTACTACTCAGTGACTTGCTCATGGGAGTTAGCCCCGATGGCGGTCTGGGCTCTCTTTATCTTATACTATTGCAGAAAAAAATGTTAGAACTATCAGAATTGAATACTTCTAACCTAGAAAATCGACGATTTCCTACATCATTGATCAGATAAAGGTTTGTGAATGGGACATGCCATTTATTTATTTTATGGAGGGGCTTTTTATATTGTGAATGAGACCTACCACATATTTTGAGGGGAGCCTCTAGTTCCAGGAGGATGGGCTGCTGAAGAAACAGCTCTCGAGATTTCAAACAGAGACCTCGAACCTCAGCCTCCGACATCTGCACGGTCTTGCCAGGCCGAGACCCACGCACTAATCAATCAATCAATCAATCAATCAATCAATCAATCAATCAATCAATCAATCAATCAACCAACCAATCAATCAATGTATTTTGAAGGTTTCATGAAGGTAGCTGAATTTGGAAAAATTACTGTTTTTTTATCTTGAAAAACTTTAGTATGGGGAAGTAAGTGAGTTTCAGGGATGAAAAGGCAAAAAATCCAATTTGGTTTCTTTCCCCCATCAGAGAATCAGAATTAAATCATTCCCTAGGGTTGGGACCAAAAATTGGTTTTACATTTTTTTTACCTCAAAAATTAGTAAAAAAAAGTCAATACACAATCCCATTTTAACAAACAAACATTTTAAACTTAATGTTACTTTGAGTTCACTTACTTGTGCGAATGGGGGGGGAGGACATTGTAATTTACAGATTTCTTATGTATACCAATGTTTTGTACAAAGGAAACTAAATAAACTTTAAAAATTATAAAAACACAAATTTATGCTAAATACTGAATCGGGCCCCTCCCTTCCAGCTTAAATTGACAATATTACAATATTAAAGAATACTATTAGATGTTAATATACAGTTCACACAGAATTAATTCAGAAGAAAATACAAACACAGAGGAAGGAAATTCCCCATATCTTTAAATAGGAATATTTTTAAAGAAACATATAAACAAACTCACGACGCTTTCCTAAAGCGAATGATTTTTGGACCCCGCCCCCGCCCCCCTCCATAACACTTACTTTTAGCAACAACAGTTTAAACTTAAAATTAAAGGAATTGGGTTCAGAGGCATGGGATGATAAACTTAATTCACAGAGATTATCTGAGGGGGTTAAACCATAGCCATAGATTTAGAATACATCAGTGTCACTTGATGGTACGCTTTTCCTTAGCACTTTTATCGGAAGATAAAATGAACCATCATAGATTCACACCAGATTTAAACATTAATAATATTCTAACTAAACCTAATTTCTCCATGAAATTCATATTGTGTAATCTGGGATAATATCATGCAATGTCTAGCAAAACGAAAAGTGGTTTGAGATTTTTCTTATGCAAATTTGAATATCAATCGATGACATAAGTAGACGAATTTCGTATCGAAATCGTCAATCTTTGTAGCAAAAAATCGGCGGTAAATGTTCACTTCCGGTTTGCGATTCTGAATATGCAAAAATAATTAATAAATAACTGAGTTTACCCTCAAGAAGGCGCTGGATAATATTGTCAATGTTTATCTCTCCCTCCGCCATTTTTCACAGAACAGAAGAGAGATTGGTTGAGCTTGGCCTGCCCAAGCCGAGGTTTCGTGACGAAAGACTCCGAAAGTTTGAAAAAGGTGGACGGGGGAGGGTGAAATATTTTTATACATTTTTTTTTATAATTTAGGAATCGTAAATTTATATATGCATGAAAATGATTGTTTCACAAAAAAAAATATTTTTATCAAAACACCCCGGTCGTTTTTTGCATCCACTTGATTAATAAAATAAGGTTCCGAATGTCGTCGTTGCTAAGACTAAACTAGGGATTGGCCTTACATGATTAATGCTGATGGGGAATTTTTGACATACGCAAATCCGCTTTACACCACTTTTTACCTACGCCAAATCCACATCCGACCTACTAGCACGAGGTTTTTACAGCTGCTAGATGGACTTGTGGCCGCAGCGCTTGGCCCCCATCTCAGTTGTCCTGGCCGCAGCGCTTAAGGCCCCTGGTAGACCCAAACGGGGGCTGAGCCCCAATTCCCCCCCCCCTGTTAAGGAGCGGCCAATAAGCACAGCCCCCACAATTTCCTACATTTGCTAGTGCAGGTTTATTTTTTTAATTATCAGAGAATATTTTTGCTGCAGTGTTTATGTACATTTGTAATTGTTATTTTCTAAAGCATTAAAATGTCAAAAATTATTTCAGACAATTCATTGTGGTTCTTGTGGTGCAAAATTTTCAGAGAACAGCCCAGCTGTTTTAGTTTAGTTTTAGCAATCCTGGGGGGGGGGGCTAACCCAATTCTTTTTTTTCCTTCAGGCACATTTTTAAGCCCCCCCCCCATGGACTAAATCCTGAATTCGCCTCTGGCCGCAGCGATTGAAAAATATAATTGTTAGATATTTTTTAATGCTATATGTGCATGTCAATTCACAGATAAAATCTCGACTTTACACTTTAAATTTTTTCATTGTGTAAAAATGTACCATAACATTTAAATATCTTCCTAAGAAACTTTTTTGCCCCCCCCCCTTCCTCTCACGCGATTCGATCCAAGTCTGCCCCTGTTTGAAAACCGGTTTTTAATTCATGAGTACGTTACGTACACTTATACTCTTCACTCTTCAGACTCTGTAGACTCCACGTCTAACCACGAGCTTCGGAACCGGTTACACCATTGGACGTTGCGCGGGTTTTCTTACAACCGCATTCATTGCTCAATTATAATTAACGAATTAAAGTGATTATAGTGAAAATCATTTAGTTTTCTGATTGAATTCGTAATTTCCTATAACAGAACGATATTTTATACATGAATTCATATGTAACACATGGATAAAATCATGCATGTCATGAAACTAATATTTACAGTAATGTCCCTGTAAAGGGGATCCTGAATCCTGATGTATAAATTCTTGATCTCGAAAAACTGTCAATTTAAAAAAAAAAATTTTGTTCATCTCTTTATCTGAGACCATCTATATCCTAATTTTTTAAGTGTTTTTGAATATTTTGGCTGCTTTTAACTTAGGTAAAAAGCTTTTCATTGTATATGTAATTACGAGGATAGTGTTTTTTGTCTATATGAGTTAAAACTTGAGAGGGGGGGGGAAAGGTGCCCCTGAAAAAATTTAGGAAAATTATTAAAAAATTATAAAATTTCGTATTTCAGCTAGTTTTACCCTAATACTTACTAAAAGTGTTGCACATTTGGGAATTTTTTTTAGGGGCACCCTAAGGGGGGGGGGGGGGTTACAAGGAATGGATATTAATATTTGACTGTTATCTTATAACACTAAAGGTTGCATTTCATAATTTAAATTCTCTCTCAGTTTTAACGTAATATAGTTATTGCAACAAGGACAGAAACGAAATATTCTCAGCTCAACAATAATTTTTCATTTAAAGATAGTTTACTAGGGTTTTAGACAATTTTTTTAAAATTATTTTAGGGTTAGATTAAGACAATTTTTCGGCCGAACGCTGCGGCTAGGAAAAGTAAGGGGGCCGAGCGCTGAGGCTAGGACAGGCTTTATCCATGTGTGTCTTTTTTAAAATTACTTAAAAATCGACAAAAAATATTACAAAATTGAGGAGAGGGGGGGGGGCGGGGAAGGAGCGTACGAGAGCAAATCTCCAACATCGTTAAAAGCGTAAGCGTAATTTCAAGTGACCCACCATGTAAAGATATGGTAATGTCCGATTTACAACGGTACCCTTGAAACCTAAATCTGAACAAAATTGTGGAAGACGAATCGGTTTTCTAACTTGAAAATCGTCTCTCTAATCTTCTTATAACCAAGAAATGTGCATGTCACTCTTGCAGAGAACCCACAGCAGAAAATGGAATTCTAAATTATATTTAAATCAGTCGAAACAAAATGTTTAGGGTATTGTTGTATATCGGGCATTGAAATCTTCGTATATATGGGGGTCACTTGAAATTACGTTTTTCCAGTCCCATAAAGAATGCTTAAATGTCAAGTTTTTTCCAAAACTTGTTCTGGGTTCCACTTTACTAAATAAATTCTACTTTAAAGTTTTAATTTAATTATTCCAAAGGCACAGTTAAGTGTAAGTAGTTAAATTTTTAAATATTTTATATTTTGTATATTTCAGATTGACACTTACTAAAGAGGGAAAACTATATAAAGAAAATCTACTACAGCTGTTGGTAACTAATAATCAAGGTAATATTAATTCAAACAGCATAGTATAGGAATTTAATAAAATAGCGGAATTAAATTAATGAAAGAAACTGTTTCAACTCGTTAACTGAAATCAAGCTTAAATCAGTTATATTAGTTTAAAACGAGCGGTAACGTTTAACACAATAGGCCTATTTGTTACGTTGAGTATACTTACATTAAAGTGATTGTCAACAGTGGCGTAGTGGGGGGGGGGGGGCGAGAACCCTGTGCACCCCTTAGGCCCCCACCTAAGATTTAGGAGGTTTGCGTTCACAATAACACTGAGGCAGAAGCCTATATATATACTTGATTATGAGAATTTGTAAAGTTGAAACCCGAGGTTATTTAAATATATTCCTTAATTATACGGAGTAAACATATATTATTTTGTCTATATGATTTTTGTTTTTTCAAGCTACAGGGTGTAACTAAATTCAAGGCAACTTCTTGTTAACAAGGATTATTTTATTGTTAATTTTAAAGTTTATTTTTTAAAGGGCCGTAAAATTACATTTTTCATGTTAAGGAATATTACCAAGATTGGGGGGGAATCATTTTCTCTCATTCATTAATTGTATCTTCGAATATTATCAGTAACGCCTGTTAAGACCCAGTGTGTTGCTTCTCCCAGAGAGTTGACAGTTTTCTATTAGTATTGATCAATGAATATTCAACCAGTAACCCCATAGAGTAATTTATTACTCTATGAGTAACCCCCATATCTATGTTTACAAATATAAACTGTAATCTGTATTCTAGTTTTGGGAGAATTATAAACAAAACTCGACACTGCGTTTGTTTACATTTTTAACAATAAACTATAAAAAGTATATTTTGTTTGTTTTTGTAAAACTACAGTACATTTTATTTGTAAACAAAGCTAGAAGTTCCCGGTATAATCCTTGGTTTTGGTCAAGGAAGGTGCATTAGGATCCCTCATATCTTCATTGTAAATAATTACAGTTTATTTGCAATTAAAGCTAGAAGTTCCTGGTCCTTGTTTTTTGGTCAAGGAAGGTGCATTAGGATCCCTCATTTCTTCATTGTAAACAAGACCATTATATTTGCAATTAAAGCTAGAAGTTCCTGGTCCTTGGTTTTGGTAAAGGAAGGTACATTAGGATCCTCAATATCTTGGTTATGAAAATGAACCTGCTTGCAGAAATATAATTAAAATTATTGCTGTCCAAGCTAAGTTTGATTTTACTTAACTTCCAGATATACGCATCGTAATTTAAGCATGAGGGCATTGAACATCTTTTTATGTTGACAATTTTCTCCATATTGTTTCTGAAGCAGAAATGTGTAAGTCAGAGAGATAATGATTAATAATCAATTGATAAGGCAAAGCTTTTAAGGGTACCGTTGTGAATAGGACATGCTACTCAACAAATGGAGGGACAAATGAAATTCGCCCCCCCCCCCCC